CTGCTTGGAAGATGGATTCCCTCAAGTCCCGGCGTGGCTGGGCAGGGGTGAGCAGGGTTATTTCTGGTGGCTCCCAGTTAGGTCTGGGGAGGATCTCATCACATGCTGGCTCTTGGTACCCAGGAGACTTCCCGTATTCTGAAGATCTCAGGGAAGTGTCACCAGCCGGGAAACTTGTGCTGCTTCCTGTTGAAGGCCAAGCTGTTTCCCAGAGTCATTACCCTGCCCCTCCCTGGCCCAGTTCACCGGGATGATCCCTCACAGGTCAGACCTACATGGAGGGCGGGTGGGGGCCCAGGGTTGCTGGTGGGTCAGCCCCATAGAGTCACCGGTCTCCCTAACCCAGAGAAAGTGGCCAGAAAAACCCAGACCAAAACAGAACCAAGAAACCCTTCAGATCAAAGGTGAACCCTTCCCCTCACTGCAATCCAAGTGGCTGTTTGTCATCCTTCCAAGTTCGTGGATGAAATGTGCTTAGCAATACGGCCTCGTCAGAATTAGATCATTAAAGGAGAAAAAAAAATGAATTACCCTTTTGGAAAAGCTCCCCGTGGTGGCTTTGTTACCGTGACAACAGCCAGATTTCTACCACCATCTTGTCACCACCAGAGGCCTGGTCTCAGCCAAGGGCTTGCATCAGAGCTGACCGCCATCTCCGACCTCTGAAGGGTGGGGGGTCCGGCGGATGTTTCCTGAGGTTTCTGCCTTGGAGCCTTCACAGAAGGTCCTGCTCTTGCCAGATGTGTCTGCTGATTGGAGGCTATTAAATTTCTGCCCCTTGGATACAGTCACTCAACTCTCATTAACTCTGGGGGGAATCGGGGCCTTTGTAACCTCAGACAATTTTTTAAAATTATTTATTTATGTTTTAAAAACTATGTTTAGTTGTCCATGAATACAATACCTTTATTTTGTTGGTTTAGTTTTATGTGGTGCAGGGGATCGAACCCAGGGCCTCGCATATGCTAGGCAAGCGCTCTAACACTTGAGCTACAACCCCAGCCCACAATTGGAGTTTATATGTTCTGCTGAGACTGGAAAGTTTGGGATACTCTTCAGTGTGGTGACCCTGGGCCAGACCCGTCCTTCCACAGTTCAGGACCCCAGTTTCCTCTTGGTGTCCTGGTGGACTTGGGCAAACCTGGTTGGGTGCTCTAAATGGTTGACAGGAATATTAATTTCTAGTGTTGTTCTGAATCTTTCCCATGGAATTAAAGGATTTTGAAGTCCCAGAGGGACTTTGAGATCTTCTGGCCCTGCGGTCTTGATCTCTAGGACACCTCTGAGAAGCCTGAGTAGGCTGTGGCTGCTCGGCCCAGGGAGTTGTGTCTGTGTGTAGGACATGCCTTGTGTTGGTGGTGGACTCCAGGGAAGAGCTTCTACTTGGGTCCCTTTCTTTCTTCCTTTCCCACTTTAGAGACCAGGCGCTGAGGCCCTGAGAGGGAAAGACACTTCCTAGGGTTCTTTTTGATGTAGCCTCATTTTCCGGCCTGGTCACATTGCCTGGCTCTGTTTGTGGAGCCCCAGACCAGCCCCCACAGGTTTGATGGGAGGTGGAGGAGATGCCTCCCCAGGCCCGAGACCTCACAGTCCCCCCAGACACACACCACCCAGAGCATCTCAAACTGGGCACATCTTAGTCCTGGAAGGCCATTGAAGAGAGTGACTGGGCCCTGCCCCAGTGTTTCTAATCCTGTAGATCCAGAGCAGGGCCCCAAAATTGTCATTTCTAGTGTATTCTCGGGTGCTGCTGCTGCTGCTACTGCTGCTGGTTACCATCACCCCAGGGGACCTCAGTCACAGAGATAACAGGGTGCCGAGGGGAGCTGGCGATGCTCCAGCTCCAGCGGCCATCTGAGCACTGGCTGGGCTGGTCTGATCACCAGACCCTGTGTATCTGGGGACTGATGGAAATGAGAGGCAGAGTGTTGAGGTGGTCCTTGCAGTGAGGATGAGCCTTCCCTTCCAAAATCCTCTTGAGAAACACTGAAAACTTTCACTCCCTCTCCCACTGGTGAGCTTTTCTTCTCTCACAATACACTTGAAAACACACCAACCAAAGCCTTTTCCTGATTGCTCTCTATGTATGTGTTTTGTGTGGCTGGGATGGAACCCAGGGGTGCTTTGCCACTGAGCTATACCCCAGCCCTTTTTAATCTTTTTTTTTGTTTTTTTTTTTGGTTCCGGGGTTTGAATTGGGGGGGGGGGGGCACTTGACCACTGAGCCTCATGCTCAGCCCTGTTTTATTTAGAGACAGTGTCTCACTGAGTTGCTTAGTGCCTCATCTCACCATTGCTGAGGCTGGCTTTGAACTCTCGATTCTCCTGTCTCAGCCTCCTGAGCCACTAAGATTACAGGCATGTGAAACCAGGCCCAGCTCCTTTTTATTTTTTGAGACAAGATCTTGCAAAGTTTGGAGGCTAACTTTGAACTTGTGATCCTCCTGCCTCAGCCTCCTGAGTCAATGGGATAACAGGTGTGCGCCACCACTCCTGGCTCAGAACACCTTTCTTAAACATTTATACTCTGACACTTGAGCAGAATACGGGGGTGTACTAGAGTCACGTAGTGCAAATCCCAAGTGCCTTCTGTGGTTCTCAATCCAGTCCCAAATTTATCCACCTGGGACATTTTTATCCTGAATTGGGCCTCCTCCTTCGTTCATCAGGGACTTTGGTTCGCACCTGCTGCTTTCTTTCTTTCTTTCTTTTTTTTTAAATGTGTAACTGAACTTTATAAATACTTTTAATTTCCCTTATTTTGGTAAAGTCATTCAGGCACATAGTGAATACAATACACAGAGGTATACAATGAAAAATAATCTCTCTCTGCTCCCTACAGGTCTCCTTCCAAGGCGGCCACCTGTCCCCATGTAGAGCCCTGCTGTATTTTTGTGTTCATGTGGGAGTCTTCAGAGGATGCACAAGCACCAATGTACAGTCACATCCTTACGGGTCCCTTAATGTGCTGGATACCTGTTGCTTTTACAATGTGGCACCGAAGCTTGGCAATGTCAGTTCATGGGGAGGTGCCCTTTGGATCCTTTCTATTTTCCAGTGCTAGGGAACATGCCAGGGCCTCACACATCCCCGGCCTTTTTAAATTTTTACTTGGAGACAGGGTCTCACTAAGTTGCGGAGGCTGGTCTTGAACTTGCCTTCCTCCTGCCTCAGCCTCCTGAGTCACTAGGGATGACAGGTGTGGGTCACGGCACCTGGCTGCCTGTTTTTCTAAAGGGCTGGAACATTCCATTGTGTCTGAGGACTGGCTCTTCGTGGACACATAAGTTGTCCAGTTCTGGGCACAACACACGGTGGCTGAGTGGGATCCTCTTGTTCCTGCTCTGCTCCAGGAGGGGTCTGTGGAGCCAGGCAGTGTGGACAAAGTGAGTTTTCCCGTCAGATAGTGGAGTGGACCCTTCTGGGAAAGCCGTTTTCCTGGGGAACGGTCCCTATTCCCAGAGCCTATCCCGGGTGCTGTCTTTTAGCTTTCTGACTAACTAGCTCCTGTGCCTTGGGGGCAACCCTTTGGGCTTTCTGGGCCTCCACTTGGTGTCTGTGGGATGCTTCCCCAGACCCTGGGCTCTTCACACTCAGGACACCTGTGGTTAGCATTGAATTTCCTCTACCGATCATTGGTTCAGAACTTTCTAGAAGCCTGGTGGTGAGGCAGGAGTGTCCACTCATTGTCAGGCCTTGTGCACTTGCTAGAGGCTGCCTGCCCTCCCAAAACAAAGGGAGCTGCTTGGAGGCCTTGCAAACAGTTTTGTTGGACCCTGAAGGCGGGAGATGTGGTGCAGGGTGATGTGCGTGCTGAGACTTTCCCGATGCTGAGTTGCAGGAGGAACATTTTTGGGGATTGTCATCTTCCCGTGTCTCACATCCCATGCCAGCCCCAGTGTGCAGGGTGCACTCTCCACTCTCATGTGTCTGTAACTTTTGCTCTTCAGGATGCCAGCTGTCCCAAGCTGTGCCACTATTGTCCATGAGCCGAGGAGGCCACCTTGGGGCATTGGACGGACTCTGGTCCTTGCAGGTGAAGACTGAATGGATGGTGGTAGAAGGATACACTGAGATTCTGACTGGGAGGGAGGCTGGAAACGAGGGGGGTCTGGTAAGAGGGGGGCTGGTACTTTTCAGGTGAGAATCAATAAGAATGTAATTTGTATTGATTTCTTGGGAGGAAGGTCTCAGGGTGCCCACTGCTGACAGCCGGGAGAACTTTCCGGTGAGCAGGGTCATTCTTTTTACCCGTTCTGTTTTGTCAGCTGTGAGCATACACAGCAGCTCTCCTTTTCTGCACAGAGCAAGGTGCTGTCGTTGCCCTGGTGTGTGGCCTTGGTGACCTGCCTTTCATTGTTTCCTGATTGGCCATTTTTGTGGGTGTGGAAAAGTAGTTCGTGGGCATGCCAACAGCGCTGGTGCCTATGTGATGCCTCTTAGGAGCTTGGTTGCAGCCTTGTCAACAGGGACACAGTCAGGAACGGTGATGAGTGTGCAAGGTGGAGACTCATTCTCACCCCAACGTGGGATTGTTGCTCAACTTTATCTGGTGTCATCACGGCCTGTGGGCCCTGAACTTTTTTTGTTTTGGCAACCAACCAAGATTTCATAAAAATATCACGTAGGAGTGGAGTGTGGTGGTTCATGCCTGTAATCCCAGCTCATTGGGAGGCTGAGGCAGGAGGATCACAAGGTCAAGGTCAGCCTGGGCAAGACCCTGTCTCAAGATAAATTTTTTTAAAAAGGGTTGGGGATGTAGCTCAGTGGCAGACTGATCCTGGGTTAAATCCATAGTAACCCCCCCCCCAAAAAAAAAACAGTCATGCACATCCTTGACCTTGGACAATAAAAAGGGGGTCAAGTATATTATAGGAGGAGGAGTATACTTGCAAATGACCTTGAGTTTGGGGAAAAATGTACCACATCACATTCACCCTCCTGTGGGACCATGGCCACCCTGGTGCTTTAAAATGTGTGGTCCTGTGTGTCTCTTTCAGATCCTGGCTCTGCAGACAGAATAGCCCAGAAAAGAAAGCTCCCCAGCCCCCCACATTCTTCCAATGGCCACTCACTGCAGGACAACTCTACAAGCCCCATTAAAAATAAAAAGAAGCCCAGCTTACTGAGCAGCAACAGCAAGAAACAGGTAAGGCCGCGGCTGGGTGTGGCATGGCAGTGGGCACACCAGCGGGCAGCAATGCTCCGTTCCTCGGAGCCGGGTTTGGCATCTGTTCAGCAGGCTGCCCTGGCGCTGCCTGTCATTTGCATGTGTAGAAAGGGCAGCTCAGAGGGGCCTGTGTGAGGTTTCCAGCGGGTTCTCAGATCTGCTTGGGGACAGAGCAGTGACCCAGAGGAGATGAGGATATTCTTCTTGAGGGACTGGGGCTTCTCCTTGGCTTCATGTCTCCGTACTCTTAGGATGGTTTTCCCGGGTGGCCTGAGGATTTCCCCTGCTGACCAGTGCTGGGCGACACAGCTCCCTGCCAGTCTCGTTTTCTCATCTGTAAAATGAAGGGTGTGGGCCCCTAGTAGAGGCATGGCCCAAGGGTCACCTCCCCTTCTCTTGAGCACAGGCTCCCCATCCCCTTGGCTGACAGGATTGTCAGACGGGAAAACCTCCTCACCATCCTGGGTCTCATCTAGGGAACCTTCTGGCTATAAAATTCTCTGGTGCAGCTTAGACATTCCAAATAGGGAACGTGAGAGCACTGTGGACTCACTGGTGGAAGTGTCCACCCCTGTGTGGACTGCGAGGTCAGGGGGTCTTGAGTGGTTCTTGAGCAGCAGTTCCTGGTGACCTGCTCATCTGTTCTGTGCATTATCACGCACTGCAGTGGGCCCTGGGGATGGAAGGTTGGATTAGATGAGATTGCTGCCTTCACGGGAGGAGCCCTAGCCACGTTAAGTGCCCCGGCCTGGGAGAGACATGTGTCCAGTGCAAATCTATTTTCATTCTCAAAATTATAGAGTGAACTGCCAGCTCTGGCCTTGGCCCTGTGACTGTGGGCACGTGGACCTCCGTGGCTCTGGTTTCCTCGTTCACGGAACTGGGCGTCCTGGCGCTGCTGTTCAGGCCCTGGGGCTGTCATGGAGACTCATGGAGCTAAAGGACAGGGCAAGAGCAGAAACGAAGAGCACAGCCAGGCTCCGTTGCCAGAGTATGATCTGAGATTTGACCTTGGAGGCAGGCTGTTTCTGTGGCAGTGTCCTAGACCCCGATGTCTGGTGTCGACCCAGTCACGTGTGGCTCGTGAGCCCTCGAAATCAACCAGTGTCAGGGAGCAACTTGGTTTTTTTCATTCTGTTTAAAGTCACGTGGCTGCCTGTGGCTGGTAGCTGCCTCGTCAGTTAGAGATCCCATCGGAGGAGGAGCAACTGGGGGATCCCACGTGTGTTTTCAGGGGCACTTGGAAAAAAACTACTTGGGGAAATTAAAAGCATTGATGATGATACCAAAGCAGCGTTTGCCCCATGTCACCTGCCATTGCAAACATTTATGTCAGTCTGAATGTTTGTGCCAGGAAGGGCCATGTGCATCACCATTTTACAGTTGAAAACATAGAGATTGAATTGCTCCGTCTGTCCCAGAAGCTGGTGAGGACCTGCTGCAGTCGCCCCAGAAGCACCTCAGAGCTATCAGAAAGAAAATGGCAGTCAGATAACCCTCAGCCCTTAATTAAACCACCAGTTTGGCTTCCTGTGCCAACACTCCCTTTCCAGTTCCCAGGGAGTCCTGAGAGCAGATGTCCTTCCTGGCCAGAAGCTGTCCTTTCCTGTCTCCTCCCTCTGCCCATGCACACCCATGCACACTCACTGTGGGAGTCCCTACTGTTCTCTAAGAATTTGCTCACAGTTCTTTCTCTGGAAGCTAATCCACTCGGGTATTTGCTGCCTTCTTACCCTGTGTGAAGACCGTTTCTGTGGCACAGAAACCTCATGACCAACTGATGTGACTGTAAGTTGGTGTCCCCTGCTTTGGATTAGCAGCCTCAGATCCTGGCTCTACAGACAGAACAGCCTGAGCGAGTGTTCAGGGTTATGTTGCCACAGGGTGGGAACTCGTGGATGCAGAAGGCACTCGGCCATGGACACAGCAGCGCCAGGGCGGGGAACACAGGGCCTGAGCACACTTCCTGTCCTCTCCAGTACCCACAGATGGGGGAGTTGCTCCTCTTGGACACAGGATCCTTCCAGTTCATGGCATCTGGGGGACTCACTGGGGGTGGCCACATCAGTGGCTTTCTCTTTGAGCTTCAGTTTATGTCCTAAAATAGGGTTTTGGACTAGAACATCCTAAGGTCCATTGCATGTTTGCATTTCTGATCCAAAACTCCAAGGCACAAAGGCCCAGAGACTTTTGTTGGCAAAAATGGAGTGACCTTCACTGAAACCGGAAGACGTCCCTGACCTTTGACCCTGTCATTCCTAACAGCATTTTTTTTAAAATGCTGGCAGAGTAGGGCCAATATTCTTCATGTGCAATCTCTGTTTTCCTCATAGGGAACTTAAAAGAAATGACACTGGATACCTACTTTAAAAAAAAAAAAAAATTTAGAAGTACTTGGACACAATACCATTATTTTGTTTACTTATTTTTATGTGGTGCTGAGGATCCAACCCAGGGCCTCGCACATGCTACACGAGAGCTCTACCACTGAGCCCCAGCCCCAGCCCCTGAATACTTACCTTTCCTTTCCCTTCCCTTCCCCATATGTTGGTTTGACCAATATGTCATGATTTCTGTCAGTCACCAAACTCTGAGGATCGTGAGATTTCAAATAAAATCTTGCATTTCTGGGTTCTTATAAACACTAATTGTCTTAGCTGTTTGATTGGCTGTGACAAAGCACCATGGGCTGGGTGACCTACCAACAGTAGGAATTTCTGGAGGCTGGAAGTCCGAGATCAGGCACCATCACAGTTGTGTTCTGTCATAGAGGTGTGATAGAGGGTGTCCTGTGATAGAGGGTGAGCGCCTCTCTGGTATCGTCCTGGATAAGGCACATTCATCAGTAGTCAGAGGCCCCACCTTCTAGAAGATACCAACTTGGGAATTTTGAGGGAGACACAAAGATTTAGACCAAAGCACTTAGCAGAATCCAGCAACCCCAGTGCTGAGTAGAATCTGCCAAGCAGACGCTGGGCTGAGCTAGTGTTGGGCTGAGCTAATGTCAGCCTACACCGTACTCCCCACCCCTCACTATAGGATCACAAGCAGTCAGCTCTGCTCAACCCTTCCACCTCTGGGGGGGGGCGGGATTAACAGTTTTCTGACTTTTGACTTATGTCTCTTTCTCCCCCCGGCCCCCCCAGGTTTTTTTCTGTGTTCCAGTGTTCTGAAAGAAAGCCATTTTGGCCTTGTAAAAAAGCAAACCATGAATTTCCATTTTTGATGAAGACCTGTTATTATCAATATCTGAGCCAAGTTTAAGTGCAGGCACTTTTTTTGTCTCTTTTTCACATATTGGGAGTTCAGGACTTTTAGAGGGAGGCTTTCTGTTTTTTTTTTGTTTTGTTTTGTTTTTTGTTTTTTATTGTTGTTGTTGTTATTGTTTTCTTTACTTTTTTCTTTCTGTGATGGTACTCATCAGACCCAGGGCCTCCTGAAGGCTGAACATTTGCTCTACTACCGAGCTGTATCCCCAGGGGGAATTTAAAAGAAAAAAATATTATCATATTTTTGATATTGGGGATTGAATCCAGGGATGCTTAACTGAGCCACATCATCCCCAGCCATTTTTAATATTTTATTTAGAGACAGGGTCTTCATGAGTTGCTTAGGACCTTGCTAAGTTGCTGAGCCTGGCTTTGAACTTGGGATCCTCCTGGTGGAGCACACCTGGCCCCAGGGTGGGGATTTAAGAAGACCTTTAAAATACTTTATTTGGGGCTGGGGACGTAGCTCAGTGGTAGAGCTATTGCCTGCCATATAGGTGGGTTCCCTGGGTTCCCTCCCCACTACCAAAAATAATAAAATAGAAAAACCTCAACCCACAAAAGCACAAACTAGCACTTCTCACAGCAGTCCTTGCTTGAAGTAGGCAGTGTATTAACCACTGGGATAGTTGGTGGTGCCCCCACAGGTTGGCCTGGGCTCTGCCCACCATCCCACTCACGTCCAGGCTGGTGAGCGTTCCTCACTCTAGGGTCCGGCTGGTTCCAGGGCTGTGTGGCTCTCACAGGCTTTGAAGTCAGCCCCACTCCTTTGCAAATGCAGGACAAAAGCTGATGCATGGTGCTGTTACTTATCTGTGCCACCTGAGTGGTCTCTGCAGGCATTTGAACTTGTGGCCTCCCCTCCATCACACATATGCAGGTCCAGAGCACCCGTTCTCGGGTGGATGTAGACGAGGTGTTGGCAACTGCTGCCTGTGGCCCAGGAGCCTGTTTTTGTAAAGTTTTATTGGCGCACATCTCTGTGGCTGCGCTGATATATTTTCTGTGTTTCTGCACTGCACGGCCAGAGCTGAGCACTGTCAGTAGAGACCAAGTGGACTGCCAGGCCTCACCTCTTTGTAGAAAGTGTTTGCTGGCTCTTGATGTGCATGAAGAGATTCCAGAAGTGAACGGAAGGGTCTTTCCCACTCTTCTTGTCATACCAGCCTGTGGAAGGGCAGAGAATAAGAACATGTGCTCTCAGGACCTGTAACTGTCCCATTGAATCACAGGTTGTAACCTGCCTGCTCTGCTCTCAGGCTGCTTCCCTGTGGGGAAGAAAAAAATCATAACTCATTTTGCCTGAAAATGCTTTTCCTTTTAAAAGTGTTCCATATTTGTTATCAGATTATTTTTATGGAGCAGGTAACACTTATAAGCAGCAGATAAGGAAAGGATCTGATTGACAGGTGATTAATCAGGCAGCTGGTTCTCAGCATCCAGGGCTGCTCCAGGAGAGGAGGGAGTCTGGAGACTGGACCAGCCCAGCTGCAGCTTCCCCCATCCTCTGGGGACAGCCACCTGGAACAGTGGGGTGGGATAGTGACAGGATGTGAGAGAAACTTCATGCTGAAGGTTCAGTAACCTGGATTCTGCTCAGTCCCCAGCACCAAGGAAACAAAAACAAGACCAAAAAGATCCAGCTTATATTTGACAGTAGATGTGGTTGCAAGTAAGGGAGGTTCGCTGTCACACTAGACTCTTCCTGTTTTATTATCATTGTTATTTTTGGTAGTGGGGATGGGACCCAGGGGTGCTGAACCCTGAGCCATATCTCTATCCCTTTTTGTGATTTATTCATTCATTGATTCATTCATTCATTCATTCATTTATGGTGCTGGGGATTGAACTCAGGGCCTTGTGCATGCAAGGCAAATACTATACCCACTGAGCTGTATCCCAGCCCCCTTTTTACGTTTTATTTTGAGACAGGGTCTCAGGAGTCGCAGAGGGCCTTGCTATATTGCTGGCCTGGCTTTGAACTTGTGATCGTCCTGCCTCAGCCTCCTGAGACTCTGGGATTATAGTGTGCACCACCACACCTGGCCCCAGACCTTTTTAAAGAAAGTTTTTTGAGACAGGGTCTCACTATGTTGCCCAGGCTTTCCTCAAACTTGAGATCCTCCTGCCTCAGCCTCCTGAGATGGAATTACAGTTGTGAGCCAAGCTTTTTCAATCACACCACTAGTTACCAGGATGTTTGATGCTTCCCATGGACTTGATCATAGATTTAAATAGGATTCCATATTGGAGTGTAATGGTGGTTTTCCTAATGAGTTTCTTTTGAGTGATTTTATGTGTTTGAAGGATGGCTTCCCTGTATTTCTGGTGTCCCTGGACCTGCCACAATCTCATCTTCCTGTGTTGTTTGTAATGAAGGCTGAGGCTCTCTGGCAACTACAGGGGCCTAAAGTGTTCAAGAGATGTGACTTGAGGAAGGTTCTGGTTGGTTCACGACTTTGTGCCTTGGGGATGGCCTTAAAAATGAAAGATCATTTTTTGGTCACTCAAATCCAATTGCTATATTCTCTAAGTGCCTACAGTACGAAGACTCCCAGGGCAGATCGCACACTTCTGTTGGCTTTGTAAACATGAACTTGTGTACGTTGGGCTCTTAACCATGGGGACAACATTGGTGATGGTGGCACCGTGTTAATTCCATACATTCTATCCTCTCATTTGAACACAGCCCCATAATCCCATGACATTAGGTACCTTACCCTCATTTTACAAATGAGAAAACTGAGGCTCAGAGGTGGGGAGACCCCTCCAAGGTCATGCAGCTATTTAGCGGTAGTTAATATTTGTACCTACATAGGCCAGGGCCGCCTGGTGACTCTGAGACACTAGTGTTCAGTCTGTGGCCTTTTAAAATGGGAGGGAGGAAAGACCCTCATAGTTATCCAAAGACCTGCTAATGTTGTGGACAGTAGAGGAACCGCAGCTAGCTCGACTGTTTAGCAGATGTGAAATGCTGTGATTTTCTTGTGCTGTTATTGATGTACTTGTTCAAATTCCTGTTGAGAATGCACATTTGTTTTGAAACCAAACCTGTCTTTCTTGCCTACATTTCAGTCAGAACTAAGACATGGTCCGTTTTACTATATGAAGAAGCCACTCACCACAGACCCTGATGATGTTGTACCACAGGATGGACGGAATGATTTCTACTGCTGGGTTTGTCACCGGGAAGGCCAAGTCATTTGCTGTGAGCTCTGTCCCTGGGTTTATCACGCTAAGTGTCTGAGACTGACATTGGAACCAGAGGGGGACTGGTTTTGTCCTGAATGTGAGGTTAGTTCCCAAGGAATGAATACATTACCTGCTTCGTTTCCTATCTCTTCTCTTCCTTGACTTACAAACTTTCCAATAATCCAGATAAGGAGAAAAGAGACATTTCTTGTCTCTCACCTGCTTTGTCCTGGCCACCCCCCTTTTGGTCCAGCATCTGCCCCTGGCTGCTGTCCTGCAGCTCTTGGAGAAATGATCACATGGAATATTGTCTGGGTTCTTCTTGAGTCTTTGAATCGCTTTGACATCTGCTGCTACCTTTCTTTTTCTGGAATGCATGTCTTACATGATAACTTTTGAACTGTTAACAGTTCACACGGTCTGAAACACTCTTGCGCAGCTTCTCTTGGGTGTGCCCTGCTGTGTCATGGGGTCAGCAGCCGCCACCGACCTGGGATGCCCAGTTTGGGTCCTGTGTTCTGGGTGATGGCCGTGCCATCTGAGTCTTTCTTTCATGCAACAAGTATTTCTAATGGAGATCGGATAGTGCTCAGAAAAGTAGGCACGGATCACTTTCCTTTTAACAGAAAAGGACATAAGTGAAAATAAAGTTAGAAATAATGAGTTTGAAGAAAGGTGCAAATTGAAGATGGGGAGTAGGGAGTTCAGGAGCCACAGGGCGTTCCATTTTAAGTGTCCAGGCCTGGAACGTCCCCCTGAGATTTGAGAAGGACCTGATGGAGGTGGGCCCTGCCACCCTCTGGGGGAACCTTCAGGGCAGGGGGTGCAGCCTGGGCAGAGCAGGGGGACAGTGAAGGCAGCATAGGTTTTGTGGGTAGCCAAGAGCTGCTTTAAGGTAACCAGTCCCTGGACTTGCAGGGTTCTGAGGCGGCGTCTGTTCTTGGCCACTCTGGACTAGGAGGCTCTTTTGAATGCTAAAAAGAAGCGAGTCATCTGAAAGTCATTTGGTGTAGAATGTCTCTTGGATCCCAAGGCACGTTGGCCTCAGATTGCACATGAAGACGCATATGGGGAGCCCTGGAGGGGCTGCCCAGATGTTTTCTGTGGAAAAGAAAACAAGTCACAGGTAGTGTCCCTGCAGCCACTTCTGTGCAGGGAAAGAACGAAAATAGAAAATAAGTGAAAAGAAATCAGGCATTGAGTCGGTCTGGTGACGACCCTGGGATGGCACTCTGCCTCCGAAATGGCTGGAAGGTGGCTGCTGGTTGCCTTGGTCACTCTTCCATGGAGACTGAGACGGGCTGGGCATCGCCCACCCATGCCCGCCTATGTTTGGAGCCAGATCTTGTTCTGCTACACCTAGAGCGAGACCTGGAACCTCCACCAGTGTCCTTTGGTCCTAAGCGACTGTTCCCATTTCATCCCATTGCAGAACAGGTAGTGGTTCCCCTGGGACGCTTCCTCTGCAGGGAGAGCTCCTTCAAACTGTGCCTGAAACAGTGGGGTTTATTATCAGAATGTGTCGGAAGGGCCCAGAGACGGGGCCAGTCCCAGCTGGTGCCCAGTCAGGCCCTTTCCATCTCATTCTGAGGCCATGTGTCCCCCTCAAGGCCCCTAGGTGGGCTCCAGTGGCATGTGTGCATAGACAAGAGTCCTCTAAGAGAAAGACACTTCTGGCATCTCTTTGTCAAGCAGAAGGATTTTATCCTCATTCTCCAGCTGATTTATCCTGGCCTCAGGGTGAGCTTCCGATCCTCAGTTCCTATGCAACAAAGGTGTCCTAAGGGCTTCATGTAGCACTTCCAGGCAGTGCCAGCCAGGAGGTAGGAGCAGGGGGCGAGGGAGTGAGGGACAGTTGAGCATGTAACCCGAGTGTTCTCCTTGGATGGAGCCCAGCAACAAACTGCAATTCAAACAATCAGGAGTTCTGCGTGCACGATCCACAGCCTGATTTTCTTCCAGGGTCGCCTGGTAAGGTAGGCTGCTGGCAAGACTAGCTCTTCTGGCTCTGGTAGCCCAGGGATGAGACACATGCATCATGCAGCCTTTCTAACTTCCTAGTGACTCGTGGGTGGTCCTTCTCCTCAACAACCAACCAGAAACATCTGAGAATTCACAGAGAAGTGAAGAGTGGAAACAGTCCAAATTATCCAAGAAAACTTATCCACGCTCCTTTCACAGATGGCTGAGGAACATTGCATGACTTAGGAGCAGATGCTATTTTTGTTGTTGCTGGGACATGGGCCTTCTGAATCCCCGAGATATGGTATCACAGTCCCATGGCAGAATCCACTTTCCATCATTTCTCTCTGTCTCCTCTTTGATGGGACTTTCCTTTGTGAAATGACATCTCTTGCCTGTGTGGACAGACAGGTAGATTCTGCCCTTTGGAAATGTGCCCATGAATCCCAAGTGAGTTCACATCAGTGCTGATGAACAATGGAGTCCTATTAATTATTAGTCCACTCCCACCCCCGTGTTCTTCCTGCAGGGAGCCCTGTCTCTTGCCATCAGACAGTGCTGGGCCACGTTCCTGCACGTTAACTCTGAGTCTCAAGAGGCTTGAGATAAGCAGCTGATGAAAGTTCATCTTGGGAGGAGATCCCTCCTCTGAATGCATCGGTGACCTTCCCATTCACATCCCCTTCTTGAGAACCAAGGTTGGGATAAGGATGCTTTTCCAGATTCCCATCTCCCTCAACCTCCCCCAGATCCTGTTGTCTCTCTGAGCTGGAGACACTTGCTTGTAAGGTAGTCAGTGGGCTGGTTGCTTTCTAATGTCTACCCACAGATCCAGTATATTTTGGTCTGGTAGTTTGGAGTCCTTGCCAAGGGAAACAGCTATTCACATTTAGATGGGAATCTCTTTTTATGTGTATGTTAAAAAAAAAAGAAAAGAAAAAGTAGAAGGAGAATAAACCCGTGGCTCTGTGATTTTCTTTTTTCTAACTGGATGTGTGTGTATGATTTTTGACTCGTAAAAGATTGCAGTAGCAGAGTGCATTGAGACCCAGAGCAAAGCCATGAAAATGCTCACCATTGAACAGCTCTCCTACCTGCTCAAGTTTGCCATTCAGAAAATGAAACAGCCAGGGGTAAGAGGATCAGTCCACCAGTATAAGTGTAAATGAAGATAAGACTCCATTTAGTTCTGTTAGCAGCTTTCCACGTTGCTTGTCAGCTTTGCTTTTCAGATCCCTCTCCAGGCTCTTTGGACTTGTCTTGTGTGTCCCCACTTTAAATCTGTCAAGTAAACATCAGGTACAGTGCCATTCAGTGAGTTCTCTGTAGTGAGCTCTCCATGTCCCCAAGGAGCTTAGTCAGGAAATAACACGAGGTCCAGTAGTCAGTGGGGCCTTAAAGTCCTGATGGGTTGAGAAGTAGAACTTCACAGCCCCTTGGCCCTGAGGGCTGTGTGCTCCTTCCCTCAGCATGGATGGAATTCCACTTCAGGGAGAGGAGGGCGTCCCAGTTTATTTATAACTGAGGTCTGGTGTGGAACCAGGGAGATTTCCATAATGGGTGAGAATCTGGTTAGTTCCGTCAATTGTGAAATGAGTCCTGCTGCACAGCCTTTGCTACTTTTGGAAACTGTATGACAGCAAGGGTGCCAGGCTTGGCTGTGCCCTCACATGGCACCCTGCTGGGAGTGCCCACCATACCATAGGTATATCTGTTATTATTATGATAGTTTTCAGGAAAATGGCAGAGGAATACCTTCTGTCAAAAATAATATAATGATACTATGGACATATTATGACTCTGTCTCCCTCCAGATAAATCTAAAGAAGCTTAAGGATGGGTCCCTCCTTTCTGATTTGCTTTCTAAGTCAAGTGCATATGCAGTAGCCAAGTATCTCACTGCTTTTAGTGACCACTGTGGTTTTGTTTCTTTAAACAAATAAAAGTTTTGCTTTGAGACATTCTGAAATTTGTTATGATGAAGAAATTTAAGATGTGCCAATTAGATATTGAATTAGTTACCTATTTATCTCTTGAATTAAATCTTATTTGATGGAAGCAAAACTGTGCTAGTAGCTTTAGTTTAGTTAAAAAACAAAAATCTTGGGCCAGGGAAGGAGCTTGACTAATATGTGTAAGGCCCTGGGTTCAATCCTTGGAACCATAAAAAAAGAAAAAATCTTTTTTTTTTTTTTTTTTTTTTACTGTGGAGTGATTGAACATGATGACTATTTACAAAAAGAGCAGAGTGTGTAGATTTGTCAGCTCTGTCAAGTTTTAAACCAAAGGACAAATAGAAGAAAGCTTTACTTTCTCACTCTGTTTGATGTAAAGTCACTGATTTTGTTGAAACCTCCATTCTGGAACTCGGGGCCTGGCACATGCTAGGCAAGTGCCTTTCCCATGAGCCATACCCCTGTTCTGGAGAATTTTTTAAATTTATAGTGGTCAAACTTTCATTCTGGATTGAAGTGAACACAGGTGATTGCAAAAGGAAATCTGTCCCGATTCTTTGCTTAGGTATAATTTGGTATTTAATTAAATCTTTGGATTTAAAAAGAAAAAAATTGTTAAATACCACCCAACCATCTTGAGCTGAGTCAAGTTAGAGCTTAAGCAAATGGGTGAAGGTAAAGACTTTTTGCACACTTCTTGTACTGAAGGCAATTTGACCTCTGAAAACAGGAACAAAATCTCACTGTCTAGATTTCCCATCGTATCAGAAACATCTGTTGGCACCCAAGAGACTTTGTCTGATGTGTCATCTTTAGGTGTGAACACATTTTCCCCTCAAGTCAGTTTTGGTGATGAGTCCCTCTAGGGTGTGGCCTAGCTCTAAAGTGACCCCTGGTGTATTGGGACTCTCAGCCTCACTGGAAGGGGACAGAACCTGCTACTTGGGTGTATGTTGATAGTAAAGCAAATAACAAAACCCCAACCAGTTCATCTGGGCCCAGGATTATCAACATCCAGGCAGCCTGGGATGGTGGCCAGTGGAGCTGCCTACGGCCTCCTTCCTGGCAGTTTCAGAGAGGTTCTCTTCAGCTTCTCAGTCCAGTGTTAGTTGAAGCGTGGTCTTCCTGGCCTGTGCATGTGTACCTTTTCTCTTACAGACAGATGCATTCCAGAAGCCCGTTCCCTTGGAACAGTATCCGGGCTACGCAGAATATATTATCCACCCCATGGAACTTTGTACACTGGAAAAGGTTGGCCTCTGTCTCAGAGCCTGCCGTGTTGGCCCCGGGTGTGGAGATGCCAAGGCAGCCCCTCACATCCAAGTTAGATCAGTTTTATTTGGAGAGAAGAACTCTTGGTCCTATCACTTCATTTCCTCTGTGATGTCCTTCCAGGGGATGAGTGGGTCCTGGGAGATGTGCTCACTGCTCTTCTGGGAGTGATTCCAGCTTCTACCTGAAAGAGCCATACTTCTAGGAATTAGCGATTTGATCGATTCGCGCCTTACGTTGTCTTCTCTTTCTTTCGGAGGTGCTAATGAGAGCAACAGGAAGGAAGAAGAGAACATTTAAGTAGCTGGAAAACCTCCAGATTAGCAATAAGGACGTGGTTTCTTAGAATCGGCTTCTCAGCCAATAAGTCTATTTTGTTAATGCCTGAAGGTGTTTTTCCAAGTTCGTGCTAAAATTCCATGGTGAAAATTATATTTGTAACACTTTAGATTGCGCACACCACCATGGTGCTGATCTCAATATGGGTAATGAAAAGTATCTATGAAGAGGACACATTACTGGGTGTGTTGGTGCATGCTCGATATCCCAGTGACTCAGGAGGCTGAGGCAGGAGGATTGCAAATTCAAGGCCAGCCTCAGCAACTTAGTGAGACCCAGACTCAAAATGATATAAAAAATGAAAAGAAGGACTGGGGATGTGGCTGAGTGGTAGGGTGCCCCTGGGTTCTTCCGTAGTAGAAAGGGATACATCTTTCATACTGTTGGCATAGTGTTGTGTGAAGTGGGGATGGTGATGTGTGCTTCCTTGAGTTTTCAGGAGGCTCATGTGAGACCTGTCTTAATAATAAATAAAAATAGAGAAATCGACCTCTTCTTGGAAGGAACCTCTTAACAAATGACAGCAGCGTTAAGATGAGAAAATTCAAGTTCCTGTGATGAATTCAGTGGTGCATTTTTTAATATAGGGTCATAGATCTCCCAGGATCATGGGAAATGAGTGGACGAGCCTTAATCAATTTGCCGAGTGGTGGTGAGAGGATGGTGTGAGGGGCAGGTGGTTCTGCTGTGTGTGGAGCCACTGCTTACTGTTCCCCGTGGCTTCTCTTCCCAGAACGCTGAAAAGAAAATGTACGGCTGCACGGAGGTCTTCCTAGCTGACACCAAGTGGATCTTGCACAACTGCATCATTTATAACAGGGGTGAGTGGCCGTGTGGCGCCCGGAGACGGCACCCTGCTCCTGGTGCACGCTCTGCTGCCCCTCGCAAAAAACTGGGCTGCAGAGTCGAGCATCAGGCTTCGGGGGACCGAGGACACTGTGTGTGCATGGCCGTGGCATGTGAACGGGGCCAGTGCGACCTGCACGGTAAGGCATGAGCCGACGTCCACGGCTCAGTGATGCGTGGTTTGCGCTCTGATGGTCATCTCCAAACTCCATAATTGAACGGAGGTAGAAATGTCAGGGAAATGCACAGGTTCATGAGCACGTTCAGTGACTTGGACAGGCGCAGGGCCACACCTCAGGTCAGGTGGAGGCTTTCCAGTCCACCTCCTGTTTCTGCTGGAGCTCCACTCTCCCTCGGTGGCCTAGAGTTCCAGATGGATGGGTTGGGGGTGCTCTCGGTGTCAGGGAGCACACCCTGCAATGGGATTTGGCGTGACCGAGGATTGTGCCTTTGTTTTTGCCAGGTGATCTTTTGCGTGGTCAGCACTCTTAAGTAGGTCCCTTCCCCTGGTTAATGATGGATGATCCTGTGGTCTCCATCTTTGGGTTCCGTCTTTGGGTTGTTGTGGAGGAAGCTGCAGGGGACTCCTGTGGTGCCCTTGGTCTGGGCAGGTGTGCCTGTGGCTCTTGGCTGTCTGGTGCTGGACCATCGAGTGGGTCATCTTAGATTCAGGAGCACTCTTGTCCCAGTGTGTGTGCACAGGGCTCATGTCAGTGTGCTCCATGGGCGGGCATGTGCTGTCCAGCCACCCCACATCCTGGCCCTGCCTAGCTTTTTGACCTGGCCATTCTTGGGTGACTTGAAATGTCTCCTATGTCACCAGGGGTTTTAATTTGCCTTTTCACTATGGCCAGGAACTGAGTCATCATTTCATGAACTTCACAGTGATTTGTGTGTTGGGGTGAAACCCCCCGACTGTTCACTCAGAAGCTGGGCTGTTGCGCTCTGTGGCTCACTGCCGGCATCCTTGATGTGCTGGATCTAGTGCTAACCGTTGTGTTCGTGGATTTGGAGGATGGAGCCTTCTGGCCAGAACAGAGGAGAATTTCCACTGATTTTCCTCTGGGCACCTTCCTTAAGGTTCTTTTCTGTCTGCCTCTGGCTGGGCAGGTCTCCCTGTCCAGCCCACCTGGTGCCCTGGTCTGCAGATCAGCTTGTGCTTGTGCTGGGTGGTACCTGCTGCTGACCTTCCACCTGCCTCTGCCTCCCTGGCCTTCCCTGTGACTCAGCCTTTCGGCCTCTAAGACTCCTTCCCTGAGGCCCCAGGCCATTGGAGGTCTCTGTCCTGGGCTCTCTACTGGCCTGGCTGCATCATCACAATTCCCAAGTGGTGCTGTTTGTATGTGCTTGATCTCTGCACCCAGAGGTGACTCCTCCAAGGGTGGGTCTGCCTCTTGTTCCCTGCGAATGAGTGGCCAAGTGCAGACCCTCAGCCAGCATTCCAGGGGAGCTCCCTGAGCAGGAGTCTGCATACTGCATTGTCAACTCCTCAGCCGCAGGGCCGGGAGAAAGGGGAGGTGCTGGGCAGTGAGCACAGAGTGGCCCATCGAGCATGTGAGAGAGTGAGTGGGGTCAGGGTGAAGGAGAAGACCAGCAGCCACAGGGATGGCCAGTGGGGTGAGGGGAGAAGGGACTCCTGGTTGTTTGGAGAGGCTGCTGTTGGTAGCTCCCGGGGCTTGTTGATTACAGGGTCATCAGACTTAAGGAGTTGGATATCTAGGTCGCGTGTGTGTATGTGTGTGTGTGTGTGTGTGTGTGTGAGAGAGAGAGAGAGAGAGAAATCTCTTTGTCAACAAATGTAAAACTTCTGAAAACATTCTAAGGGTCAAAGAAAACATGATTTTTTAACCACCTCATCCCCTGCTTTAGAGGAAAGGTAAGGAATTGGGTTAGACCTGTCCAGGTCTCTGCTTTGTTATGAGTGTCCTGGTGGAAGAACCTGATCTTGCCTTAGTTGATAATTGAGCTTGAACACTCTTCCCTGCTTGCTGTTGTGGCTCCTGGAGGACTCTTTGGAAACCCCTGGCCCAGCCACGTGGTGACGTCCCCACCGCCTTCTTGGGTTGCTGCAGTCTGGGATGACGGGTACAGTAAGGCTCCTCTCCAGGACTTTTGAGCCTGTAGAAGATCAAAACCTTTTTCAGATATTAATCCATGATCTGGGGAAAGCCATACCAGTAGCTTGGTTTTGGAGATGACCTTGAGGCATCAAAGACTGGTTGGTCTTGAAGGGCGGATAATTGGAACTGACGTTAGAAAGCAGAAACTTTGGTCAGCTGCTGGAGGAAAGCGAGCTAAATGTTGTCAGGGGACATCTAATTGCAAGGTGGGGTGTTACAGTGTTTCTGGTAGAATTAATCCTATTTTCTTATTGCCCTAGGAAATCACAAATTGACGCAAATAGCAAAAGTAGTCATCAAAATCTGTGAACACGAGGTATGTGTTTCCCGCCGACCTGTAGACGCGTCCAGAGCAGGGTGCTGGGATCTGAAGGCACGGTGGGGGGCCGTGGCCACCGTGGGCTTGGTTGACCTGTCTCTTGAAGGAAGTGAAGGCGACAAGAGAGGGGCTGCAGTGTGATGAGAACCTTTGCCTCCTGGTGGCCTCAGGGAGAGGATGCTCCTCTTTGGTTTTCTCCCTGAGGTCCTGGCCACCACCGGGGTCCTGAGGTCTTTTCCTGGTTGTCACTAGAGCTCTCTGTGTCTGGCCCTGGCTGCACAGCCTGTGGCTTGGAGTCAGTGTCCTTTCTGTCCTCCTAAAGATGAGGTTTGTGTGAAAGGTTCCATAGGGTGGCCAGGGTGTCCTGGATAAGCTGTCCTACGGACCCCCACAGGCTGTGCTGGACCTCTTGGGTCTGTGAGCTGTGAGACTCGGTGTGGTGGGACAAGATGGCAACCAGAGTAACAGGGAGTGACGTTCTTTACCAGATCCCTTTGTAAGAATAGAAACCGAGACCCGCCTTTGTGCGTCTGTCCCTTCCTTCCTAAGCGGAACTGCCTGGGATGGCTGGGGAGCATCCATGAGGCACGTGCTTCTGTGCGTGTCCACAGAGAGAGAAAGTAAGATTTTCTAAACTGCCTTTTCACTTGAAGTTCGAGTACTATCTATTTTCTGGGTAATTGAACAATGGGAAGAACTAAATTTTTCATGGCTGTGTAGTATCCACGGACATTTTTTTTTGTCATTTGAGTGGAACCTACTTGTGACAGCACTTTACCTAAGGTGACAATGCATGCCGTTGCCCCTCCGGCTTGGGGTGTCCCATCTGCTTCTGATGGTCACTTTGCACAATGTTTAGATACACAGTGACCAGTTTGGAGGATGTGAACAGGGCAGAGGGCTAGGTAGATGCTTCCTGGTTGTCTTCCAGAAGAGCTGTTACACCTCACACAGCAGCTCGGGAGCTGACAGCGGGGAGGTGGTCTTCCCTCACTGTGGTCACCAGTTTGCCTTTGTTGGATGACACGTGGCTGTGTGTGGTGTGCCTCTGGAAGAGCCCAGCAGCTGAGTGGAGTGGGAGGAGATGACCCCTCCCTTCATTCACTCATGTCTTTGGTCACCTGTTAAGTCAATCGGTTTACAGTAAGTGGCCCCTGGCATGGTGATAGGTGATAAAGAGAAAATCGGGGCTGCTGACATGGGAGAGAGTAGCAGCAGCTCACCATGCAGTGGGGGAGCTTCAGGGCTTTGGAGCCTGGTTGCCTGGGTTTACTTCCTGACCCAGCCACCTTGGTGCTGGGCCCTTGGACAGGTTCCTCAACTTTTCTGGGCCTCATTTTCTCCTCCTGAAAAATGGTGATAAGAAAAATCTCCCCTCGTTGGGCATTGTTGAGTCAATCCTCAGCTAGCACTCAGAAGGCCACCAGTCCTCAAGTCTTGGACAGCTGTTCACTTGTGTGGATACTGTGTCATCTGGCTCATTCTGTGTTTTTTATTAACCCTGGGATAGGATACCAATGGCACCCTTTTCCTTCCAAAGAAGAGGGGAGAATCAGGGAATATGGAGCTAGGAAATGGTGGCAGTGAAGTTGGATCAAGGAACTTCCTGGCTGTATATTCTGAGTCCGGAAGTTACTCGAGAAGTGTGCTGTATTCTGCAGGAAAGGGACAGGGGAAGAGTTTGATTTTGGGGTTGTTGTCACTGGAAATAAAGTAAGGATGGCATGATTAGAAATGGAAGTGGAGAATGGTGTGTTGGGGGACAGAGCAGCCAGAAAGGCTTGGAGAGTGGTGCTGGTACCAGGGGAGCTGAGTCCAGGGTGCATGTGACCTTGAGGTGCTTCAGGCATTTAAGTTTCATTGTTAGTTTCTCAAATTGGCATGCCTGGTATTTGGGGCCTGGGAACTCTTGGTCCAGGGAGCAGCACCCCCCAGGTGTGACAATCCAAAATGCCTCAGACCTTGCCAAGTTCCTGGGGCGGGAGAGGGGTGAGGAACCTGCCTGCAGACCCAGTGCAGGGAAGTCTCTGGAAGCTTTTGAAGCAAGTTCAGATTTCTGTGGCTCTGGGTCCCACGTGGGGAATGCACTGTTGTGGGGCGAGAGTCCAGGCTGGATACCTGGGGTGTCCTTGGTCCATAATGTGATGGTGGTGCCAAGATTGGATCTATTTCCAAGGTGTTCCCATTGTGGCCCAAATCATTAAAATCATTAAGCAAACTATGTGTGTGAGCCTACAGTCCCAGCTCCTCAGGGGTGGGAGGATCCCTTGAGCCCAGGGATCAGGGACAGCCTGGGCAACACAGCAAGAACCCTGTCTTAAAAACCAAATCCAGCAAACAGCCAAATCACCAAAAAAAAAAAAAAAAAATCCCTGGACATTCAAATAAAAGCATAAACACTTTAAAAAGAAACCATCAAGCATTTATGAAGGCCTCCCAGATGTGAGGCTCCTGGTTGACATATTCTAATGTATTTTTGTTTTACAGATGAATGAAATTGAAGTATGTCCAGAATGTTATCTAGCTGCTTGCCAAAAATGAGATAACTGGTTTTTCGAGCCTTGTGTAAGTTGGAGTTACTTTCCTTATTTCATTTTCTGAACTCTGTCTTTGATGGCTCAGCCTTCTCCAGGGGGCTTAGGAGACGAAACTTTGGATGAAGTTTTAATATGTGTTTTTACTGATAAAATAACCTAGATAGAATAAGCCTCCTAGGCTGTTCGTGTGCGAGAACTAGTTAATCCGGGAGAATTGCAGAACCCAGAGTCGAAGGGAATTCAGAAGGAATATGGGATGCAGGCAGGGGGAGGTGTGGAATGTGGGATGTGGGGGGACAGGACATGCATGATGTGGGTCACAGGGTGCATGAATAATGCTGAGAGTTTTGTGAATGTTGATGAGTGTGTCATCCACAAATCTTCTTGGGCCTGTTTTAAGAATGTTAGAAATCTCTCATGGATTAATGTTATAGACTCTCCAGTCCATGGTGGTATTTTTTTCTTTCTTTCCTTTTTTTTTTTTTTAATTAGCAAAGACCAAAGTTCAGCTTTTTATTGAAAATGTTAAGAGCTGTCAAAAAAACCAAAGCCTATGCTTGAACCTTGGATACTTGGTTTCCATTTTCTTCTCTGGGTCAGAGGGATGGAGGGGAGGGACCTCCTGCTGACACAGCACCTGCTGCTACAGCGCACCCGCCAGCCCTGATGTTGCAAATGCAGCTCTCCAGTGTGGACATTGGCCAGGACCTTTGCAGACAAACCAGGCCAAAAAGATTCAACATTTACACCACCTGCCTCAACAAGGGTATTGATCTTATCCTCTGTGATAGTCACCTTGTCCTCATGAAGGATGAGGGCAGAGTAGATGCCATCTCGGGGAAAGAGGCCATGGCAGGCTGCAAGGTGAAGTGAGATCTTCACCGCAAGTGGCCTTAGTTTCCTTGGAAGAACCGAGTACCTTGGTGGCATCTGAGGAGAAAACAAATCATGGTTCTTGCAGGATCTAAAGACACCTTGGTTTCTCACTGTGGATCTGAATTTCCAAAGTGGTGTTTATTTTTTCCCTCTGTGATGCTGGAGGTGAAAGCCAGGGCCTTGTGCATGTCAGATGGTATTTTGCAGAGAGAAGTGGTGTGAGGTGGATAGAGGGGGTGGGGATGGAGGGCTGGAGGGGCATGACCAGGCAAGTGAAGGGAGAATCAAAATGTGCCTATGTCCCTTCGGGCCTTTGGAGATAAACACCTGATAGCTGGGGCTCAGTGGTAGAGCACTTGCCTAGCACCTGTGAGGCCCTGGGTTCTATCCCCAGTACCACATGAAAAAAAAAACTAAATAAACAAAATAAAGGTATTATGTCCATCTACAAATAAAAATATTTAAAAAATGAAAAGAATAAACACAGCCTCTGCTGCCCTCTGTGCTGCCACAGGGCACATCAGCCCACACTTTGGGGGGGGGGGAGCAGGCATCAGGGCTCTGTGTGGTGCAGGAAGGGGAGTGCCTTGCTCAGAGCCATCCAGGTGACAGCAGAGCCAGGACTCCAGCCTGGTTTTGTTGTCCTCGGATTCTGTCCCCTCCCCATTGGAGCCCTCCCCAGTTCTGTGCAGGCACCATGGCCCCCCTCTCTAGGGAACCCCACCGGGGCCTCTGTGGCCGCCTTCTCCCCGCTGTCTCGCCCTCCCCAGCTGGGAAGTGTGTCTCACTGCCAAATGTGTGCCAACTCTTGGTTCTGTTTTGCTTCTAGAGCAATCCACATCCATTGGTCTGGGCAAAACTGAAGGGGTTTCCATTTTGGCCTGCAAAAGCCCTGAGGGATAAGGACAGGCAGGTCGATGCCCATTTCTTTGGATAACACAACATGTGGGCGTTAAAAACAGGCTTTGAACATGTAGCTTCACCGAACCTTTGACACTGTCATTGGATAAGAAAAGAGGTGGGGGGTATCACTATTATTTTTATTATTATTACCATTTTTAAAAGCTGATTTTTCCTCTTGTTGTTCACTGGTATGGCTGTGATTTGTTTACCGTCGTGAAACCAACCCTTGATCTTGTAGTAGAAAAGGTTTTCCTGTGCTGTGTTAAGCCTGATAATGTGTGGGCTTCAGTTTTTTTCCAGGTACATTAGAAAATAATCTTACTTTAGTGGATTTGTTGATCTAACTGGCATCGGAATGAATTCCCGGGCTATTTTAAGTGCTGCCATCCTTTTCAATTTTTTTTTTTTCCCATCGTAAATTAAATCTCTGTGCAAATTGCTTTTCAAAATAATGCTTTCAGGGATCAGATGTATTTTCCCAGATTGCTGGTAAATGAATCTCTTATCATCCTGCTGGGTAGTTCCCTCCTGTTCCCTTTTCTCTGGAAATTACCAGGGGCTGCTGTTTTGACAGGTGTGAGCCTCCCCTCCCAGCATCTCTCCCTCCCCATTTCCACCACACACCAGGAAGTGCCTTTCAGCTAATAGCAGTTCCCTTCAGGGCAGAGCCCCTGCACTCAGAACAACAGGTAGACAGGGATGGGCAGGTTTATATTGCAGTCCTCTCCTGGCAAGTTCCCTTAGGGTTAAATGAGGCACATGCCAGACTGCCCCTGCCCCTGCAGTTTGGAGAGTGCATAGGGGAGTCTGTTTAAATACACGCAGCACATATTATACCCCACATGGGATACACAGAAAATGCAGTTTGAATTTTGAAATTTTGCTTGAGGTCTTGCAGATCAAAGAACAGTGTGAATTCCAAAGTAACTCACTTTCTTATTATGAATCCCAACAGTGCTTTGTCAGGAGACCAGATGGAAATTCCTTGATAGGGTACTGGGTTTGATAGGAGGTATCATATTTGGATTTTAATGGCTCTTGTTGGAAATCTGCTGGAAATTCTTTTATTAAATTTTCATTCAAAGAAGTATACATTTGGAGCCTGCTCAGCCTGGGTGCTGGGTACTGGGGACACGGGAGTGAACAGGCAGGCAGACATCATCGCTGGGAAGATGGGTCACACCCAGGAGTCTGTTGGGCTAGCCATCTCCATCAGGAGGTGGTGGTGGGCCTGGTGCAAAGCTTTGGGTAGAGTGGGCAGCAAGAGCAGAGGTTCAGGCAGGGAAGGGTGGACCTGGTGTGTGATTAGAACAGGGAGCAGGGAGGAGAGGATGGTGGGAGACCAGGTCCCAGGGTTGGGCAGGACTTGTTCTTATTTGAAGAGCTGGAGGAATCCATGGCAGCCTGTTGATCCCACATCCTGATCAGAGCGTGGGAAAGTGAGCGGTCTTGGTGATTTAGGATTCCTATTCTGTAGGCTGGCACAGTGTGGGGACCTGCACTGGAATGTAGGTGACAGGGATAGCAGTGCTTGCCCCACATAGCAAGTGCACCAGGAGCTGAGTCAATCATCCAGCTCCCTCTTCTGGGACCATCCTGCAGAGACCTCTTGGTCCTTCCCTTGCCAGTCATCCGCTGAGAGTGGCTTAGGTTGCTAGAAGGAAGAGTGTGGGCTTTGCTCCCCAGTGGGCAGAGGCTGTCCCCAGAGCTTGCAGGTTCAGTCTTTGGTTCTAGGTGGGAGCCATCGGGGAGCCAAGCCCTTTGTGTTAGGTGGTGAAACTTCCCTGCCCCTCTGAGCGTCTCTAGTGCCCTCTACCCCTGTAGAGTGACTGTGTTGCCCTGTTGGTTTTAACTTGGGTGAGGGGGGCCCAAGCAGGGGGTTTGGTAAAGACCGTCCACAGTGCTGCAGTGACAGAAAAACCCTAAAATGTCCAGCTGTTCTCCGAGTGTCAGAAATGACCAGCATCCTGTGTCCTGACAGCCACCTTTCTGCTCATGCCTGCTAGGGAGGTTCTCCCCAGGGGAGTCCCTCTTTCCAGGAAGAGTTGCTGCCTCCCTAGAGGCAGGCACAGGGGGGCAGGCTCACGGACAGCTGCTCTGATGGGACCAGGCAGCACGAGTCCAGGCTCATTGGCACAAAGGCCAATGCACTGTCCCCTGCTTCGGGAGCTCAGAGGTGCACCAGAGACCAATGCACTGTCCCTTTCTCAGAGAGTTAAGAGGTTCACCAGAGGCCAACATACTGTCCTTTGCTCGGGGAGCTCATGTTGGGGTGGAGGAGCCAAAACATAAGCCTGAACACGTCCAAGTGAAGTAGGTCAGGGGAGGGAGAACTCAGCGCACAGCTCCTGTCAGCTTAGTGAGTGCTGGCATGGGACTGGGGGCCTCCTGCCCGACTCCAGGCATGTTCCTCGAGTCCCATGTGTGCCTTTTGTCTTTTAGAAGAATTTTCTTGTGTGTGTGTGTGTGTGTGTGTGTTTTAATTTTTATGATAGACCTACACATGCACAGCCAAGTTAAAAACTTAGGAACTGGGTTGGGAGTGGTGATGCTGGCCTGTCATACCAGCTACTTGGCTAAAGCTGGAGGCTGTCTTGAACCTAAGAGTTCAAGGTCAGCCTGGGTAACATATCAGGATCTGTTTTTAAAAAAAAGACTAGATGACAACAACAACAACAATGAACAAAGAACTATTTTATTAAATACTTTCAGATTTTTTTTCTTTTTTTGGGGAGTTACTAGGGATTAAATTTAGGGGCACTTGATACTGAGCCACATCCCTAGTCCTATTTCGTATTTTATTAGAGACAGGGTCTCACTGAGTTGCTTAGCACCTCTCTAAATTGCTGAGGCTGGTTTTGAACTTGTGATCCTCCTGCCTCAGCCTCCCCAGCCCAGCTGGCGTTAAAGGTGTGCACCTGGCTCAGAATTTCTTTTTAAGCTAACATTAATTGAGTACTGCCTGTGCACTAGGCATTATTTTAAGTTATTTTTGGGGGGGTTATATTTTTGTTTTTGTAAGTTGCTTTTATCTGTTCTACTGATAAGAACATGGGGCCCAGCTAGGTCAATGCTTTGCCCAGGTGACTCAGCTAGCATGTAACCAGACTGGCTAGAACCATGAGAGTTTAACTCTAGCCCTTGGGCTCTGTAGGGTGCTGCTCGGGACCTCTCATGACACGTCCTCTCCCAGAGACTTTATATAGTAAAGCAGATCTAATTTCTCTTTAAATATTTTCTAGGCTTGTTTTGAAGGAAAGAAGCAGTTTCCCAAGGCCCCTTTGAAGACACCTAGGAACTTGGGAGGAGACAGTTATGTACTCGAAGCGAGCAAAAGTCTGGGCAGAAACAGGGTCACAAGATGTGGCTGCAGGCTCAGGAGTCCCTGGTAGTGCCTGGCCCTTGGCTCAGGTCTACTGTGTCTGCTCCACTGGAGAGGCCTTGGGGACTTCACCTCCTATCAGATCCGCCCTGTCCAGCCCGAGCACAACTGGAGAGAGGCCATGGTCTCCTCCTAGCCCTCCCCGATCCTGAGGGAGGTAAGTCTTCAGGCCTCAGCAGGAAGGTGGCTGGTCATTTCTGACACTCAGAGACAGATGGACATTTTAGGGTTTTTCACTTTTGGTTTCTGTCACAAGTCGCTATTGTCAGAAGCCAAGAGTGGCAATAAGGCACCTGTGTGCTCCATCCCACCCCCACTGATGGCTTTACTTCCTCTTAAAGAACAGGACTTCAGGGTGGACTGTGGACGAGTGGGAGAGGTAATGCTAGAAGCCCACAGTTTTGCTTCTTTTCAAAGCATGAGAAGGGGGGGACTCTTGGTCCAGGTCCTGCTCCTGCTGCTCTGCACTGCAGGGAGTAGGTGTCCAGCAGATAGTAGGTGTCCAATTCTCCCTGGGAGCAGGTGCAGGCATCTGTTCCCAGCACCCACTTGGCTTCTCCTTGGTTTATACCTGGATTGAGCTCCTGTGTGTGAAACCCAGAGGGATGCCCTAGAAGACCTTATTCCCACCACTTAGCAGTTATAACCTCTTGAGCTGGGTCATCAAAAGTGCTGCAGGCTGTGTTCTGAGGTCCCCGTGTGCCATCACCCACAGTGTCTATTCAGGTGTGCCAACCCCCTCCTGCAGCCACGCGGCTCGCTGGTTCTGTGAAGCAGCCACAGTTTTTTTCTTTTTTCCCCCTTGCTATCAGGGGTCTGTGCAGAGTGTGCTGGGCCATGGGGCATGGATGCTGGGAAGATGGGACTGGAGGTTGCAGACCTGAAGGCTTGGAGGGCTGCTTTGCAGTGATTTTCCCTTGTGAATTATCTCAAATTCACAAACATGAACCTCCTTCTAGGAATATGGGTTTCTGAAGTCCTAGTCCCTTTTAGAATAGCAATAAGAAAGCTGTTTGAGTCCATGTACAGTTGAGGGAGACCTGGGGAATACCCTTTTTGGTGGTACATTGGAGGAATGCAGTAACTTTTATTTTTAATTCTCTACCAGGTAAAAACCACAGGGGATTTAGTGTGTGTGTGTGTGTGTGTGTTTAATGGATTAAAATGTCTAAGACTGTCGAGCCTTTTACTATCTTTGCTGAGTTATGCTGTTCTGTGTTCTGTCCTTGTGGCAGAACATGCCTGTTAATTGGATCATTAATTAAACATTGAAACCAAGTCATTTATTTAAAAAGAGAATAAGCACTTAAGAATCTTGGCAAACATGCTAGGCTAATTTGGTTTGTATTCAGGAAAGAAAAAAGAAAAAAAGCCTTGCAAATCACTAAATTTGACTTGAACTTTCTTTCTCTTTTGCCTTCCCAGGGCCTGGGTTCCAATAAATAATTGCTACCTCATGTCTAAAGAAATTCCCTTTTCTGTGAAAAAGACTAAAGGCATCTTCAACAGCGCCATGCAGGAGATGGAGGTCTACGTGGAGAACATCCTCAGGAAGTTCGGGGTCTTTAATTACTCTCCCTTCAGGACGACCTACATGCCCAAAAGCCAGTACCAGATGCTGCTGGATCCCGCCAACCCCGGTGAGGGCAGGCCAAGACGGACAAGCAGGAGAAGGTCAAGCTCAATTTCTACACAACGGCCTCGCCCAAGATCCTCATGAGCAAGCCCCTGCTGGGCGCCGGCTCGGGCTGCCTCATCTCTTTGTTGGACATGCCATGCTCGCCCATGAGCACCAACTCTTCGGTGCACACGGGCTCCGACGTGGAGCAGGACGCCGACAAGAAGGCCACCTCCAGCCACTTCGGCGCCAGCGAGGAGTCCGTGGACTTCCTGGACAAGAGCACCGGTCAGTCCCGGGCGGGGGACGGGCGGGACAGGGGACCCAAGGCTACTTGGGCGAGGGAAAGGGCTCCCGTTGGGGGAGGGGCTGGCAGCTAAGTAAGGGCCTTGAACGCAGAACTGAGGCCCAGACCAGAGGCGGGGCTGGACAGGCTCCTGGCATTCGGTTTTCCCCTCTGTAACGTGAGGATCTTAACGGTGTGCCTGGGAGGCTCTTGTAAGTAAGAGGAATTGGAGTGCACTTAGGACAGTGCCCCAGACACCCACGCTGCACAAGTGCTGGCTGCTACTTCTCCTGATGCTGCTGTCCACGTGGATCAGGGAACTGATGCCAGCAGGGATGGCCAATGGGTGAGAGGGAGAAAAGTAATGGTGACTTGAAAAAAATTCTTTCTTCCCCAAAAGAATTTGGTCATGTGTTGAATATTCTATGAACGTCATTGCCTTCATGAGGAAGTGGTTTTGCTACTTTTCTTGAATTGTGGTATTCTCATTTTTTGTTACTCTGTCTTTGAGATATGGGCACAGAGAACCTTCTGTACCCAGCATGATGGTTCCTGGTTAGCCAGCTGTTGAGAATGGTGGAGATGTGGACACCTAGGGCATGTGCCTCATCTCAGGGACTTCACCCGTGGCCACCATGCAACTATGTGGCCTTGGGGCTTTCAGATCTTGATATTCTTCCAGAGAAATGGAAAATGTGGATTTTTAAGTAAAATCTCCACTTATTAAATGTCAGGCTGAGATGTCTTGGGGTGTTTTCTGGGGTAGTACATGTGCAGTTGGAGCAGCAGCTTTAGACTTGGAGCTGAAGTGCTCACCTTCAGTCGATGCCCCGCCTTCCCACTTGCACCATAAAATGATTTTCACTTCATATTTTTTATCGTAATAAGCAATGGGAGACTAGAGCCTAGCAATAGAACTTAGTAGCATATGACGACTGTGGAAACATTAAAGATAAGAGAGTCCTGAAGGATCAGCCATCCACTCTTCAGGAGACTGCTAATGACCCTAAAGGTAAAATAATGATGGGGACTTGGTGGCTGTGCACTCAGAGGTGCACTGATTCTGCTTCGCTCTCCCTGGATGGCCACAGGGAGGCAGAGCATTGGTGCTGGGTGGCTGTAGGGTCTTTGTTATAACAGACTGCAGCTCTGCCATGTACCCTGGGGTCCCCCATACTCGCAGTGCAGCTGTAGGGTCTTGTCCCTGGAGCCACATAGCTTGTGTGTACAGTGTCAGAAGGTCTTTCCTTTTGTCCCCTTGTTTCTGACCAGAGTCCTTAAAATAATACTTTAATTTCATGCATGGTTCTGTTGAAGCGAAATTCACAGAACATGCATGGTCTGGATCCCCTGGACCCATGGACTGTTACTTTTCATAGAGAGCTTGAGAAGGTGGGATTTCAGTTCTGGTGGCTATGCTGTGAGTCCCCATCACTTTCTGTGGAGCTTTGTTCCATTGTTGAGTGTTGGATCTGCAACTCAGCTTTGGCCTATGCAAAGTGAAATGTGTAAGCTCCTGTTTTTAAATGGCTTCTTGTTTTTTTTTTCCCTTAATGCCATGAAGTTCACGGATGTTAATACATAAGTTGCTACAGTAAAATAAAAAATGTTGATGTGTAAACTGCCACTAGTTCTCCTGGGCCACATGTCAAGAAAATACAGTTTGTACTATTAGAACACATCTAATGTGTTTAATTTAGCCTCTCTCTTCCTTCTGGAGTGGCAAAGGAGAGGGATAAATGGCCTTAGACTTTGTGACAGAATTCCTCATCATTTGGGGTTTTAGGTGAGAGCAGTAGATTCCCTTTAAACTACAGAGATTCTTTCCTAAATTATAACTCTCTTGCTCAATATGTGCTTGGGACTTGGCTAATCCTGAACCCAATGTGTAGGAAACAGGGATGACACTTAGAATGTTGTTGTTGTTGTTTTGGTGGCACTGGGATCGAATGCAGGGCCTTACCCATGCCAGGCAGGAGTTGCACCCCAGAGCAATCCTTGATTTTGCAATCCTCCTGCCTCAGCCTCCAGGGTAGCTGGGATTATAGGCATGCTCCACCCCACCCAGCCAGAGTCATTTTAATCTTACAAATTGCCCCTGTTTCTATAAGGGGTCAAATAGTAATTATTTTAGGTCTTAAAGTGTATTTTGAAGCTGTAGACATGAGGTGGGCGAGTTCTAATAAAACTTTGTTGGTGGACACTGGAATTTGAATTTCGTGTGACTTGCATGCTTTATATGAACTTTTAATTCCTTCTTCCCTCCCAGCCACCTAAAAATGTCAAATCCTCATAGTTTGCAGGCTACATGGAACAGGTGGCATGTCAGATTCTGTGGCGCAACTTTGACAACCACTTCTACAGACTGAGAGAGTTAGGGGCAACTCTCATGGGTGCCATTGAGGGCCCTGCAGAGCGCAGGGGAGGCACAGAGCCTGCTTCCTCCCATGGCAGCCTGCTGCCCTCTGCTCTCCCAGTGACAGGAGCATTTTTTTTAACAGGGAGCAGGAGCTATTAATGGCCCCCATGCTACACAATGGAGACAAAGTTGTGGCTTATCCAAAATCCTGCTTTAAAGAGAAGACCTGTCATGTCATAGGATAGGAAAACCATGTAAATAGTTTATGACAGTGACAAAATACGCAAGTCACAGCACAAAGCCACAAATTGGAATAAGTTATTCTATAAAATTTCTAAGAGACTTTGGAAATCTCCCTTTTGTTTGGAGGATTAGAGGCACAGACATGGGCCCTCCTTCTCCGGGCTGGATTTGCTCTCTGAGAAGCTCTTTGGTCAGTGGGAAGCCGTTAGCTCACAGGTTCCTGGAATCCCTCAGGCTTGATGGCCAAAGTGGTCCTAATTCTCAGTGGTTTTTCTGGTTTCTCATTTCTATAGGCCTCCTGGCCAGAATTGATGCCTTCACCAATATTGGCTTTCAGGATCCCCGTGCAAGACATTAAAATGTATTAGGGGAGCACCCTGGGGCCTGCTTTCGACCCTCTAGGGGCTAATGGTCCTTCAGTGTCATAGCTCCACTGTGGGATACCAGTCAGGGAGCAGGGAACGTGGTTCTATATTTTCCATCTCATGGTGTCATCAATACTTCTTTGTTGGAAGATAATTGTTAATTACAAGAACTAAAGTCACTAATGATTCCACCTCCCATAGTCAGCCCTCCAATGTTATTTTAGGGCCTTTTGGGGGTAGGTTTATAGGTCACACTATTAAACTGAAAACTTGAAATAGTCCCCCAAGGACCAGGCTGCTATGGAGATGCATAGGTCAGATGTGGTGGAGACTGTGGTGAGGAAAGCAGCAAGACACAGCTGTCCTGACCTGTCACACACGTCTGCCTGTGTGCACATTTGGGCAATAGTGCCACACATGCTCATTCTTCTGATAACAGGATGCATTTCTAATGTCTGTGTTTTTTGTTTTGTTTTGTTTGTTTGTTTCATCGTAAAGGAGATGCTTATAGCTCACTAATGGATCTTGATTGACCTGTAGCTCTCAAAATGTGGAGCGAGCTACTGGGGCCTTGTCTTGCAGCTGGTTCTGGCTAAGGGAGCTAAGCAGGCTTCATATTGCCAGATTGGTGATATTTCAAGAGCATCTGCAAATGGTTTTTCAATTGCAAACTACCCCAATTTTTACCCACTGTTTCAAATTTTATAAAAAATCTCTCTATCCTGAATCAAATGTATTTGTGAACTGCTTTAGTTAGTGGATCCCCTGGTTTCCATGTCTGGTGTAAACAGTGTAGGATTTTTGTTGTTGTTGTTTTAATCTGGAGCCTCACTTTCTTTCATTATTGAGATGGGATCTTGCTGTGTTAACCAGGCTGGCCTTGGACTTCTGAATACAAGGGATCTTCCTACCTCAGCTTCCCAAGTAGCCGTGACACAGGTGCATGCTACTACACCTGACATTTTACCCCTCCAGATGTGTTTCTTTTTTTTTAACGTTTTTATTTATTTTTTTAAAGAAGGAAATTTTTTAGAGAGAAAGATAGAGAGAGAGAATTTCAATATTTATTTTTTTAGTTTTCAGCAGACACAACATCTTTGTTTGTATGTGGTGCTGAGGATCGAACCCGGGCCGCACGCATGCCAGGCGAGTGTGCTACCCCTTGAACCACATCCCCAGCCCCCAGGTGTGTTTCTCTGTTAGTAAATAACCCTTAAAAACAGCACTTGCCCAACACCTCTTAGGCCACCCTAGACCATCAGGTGTCAGTCTGACGCTCAGCTCACCTGTCCCGAGGCACCTGAGCATGTGCAAGGTGCAGCCCTTTGAACATATAAGTTGTTTTCAAGTTTTGTGAATTCTGCACATTTAGCATGAATCATTAAGACCTCCACCCACTCCCACCCGCCCCAGTGCCGGCTGTGTGGGAGAGAATGAGGGGCACATTTTTCTAATTTAATATTAAGACTCCTATGTTTCATGGAGTCACAATAGCACTTAGCTCAGGCCAGGGTTTTGTAAATGGAGATAATAGATGATGTGTTTTAGCCCACACTCATGAATTGTACATCAAAGTGTAAAATCTGATTAAATTATTTGTGACTTCAAAGGCAATTAGTTCTTCCTTTGGGCAAGATTTATGGCTTTATAAAAGGATTGGCGTCTGTTTCAAAGTTTAATTGAAATGAACATTTCATTTTTCAATTTTGTGAAAGCAAAAGGACATTTGGAAATGTTAGAATGATTTAAAGCAGTGTTTCTCAACCCCAGCTCTCTTGACATTTGGGCTGGACAAGTCTGTTGTGAGGTCTCTCCTGTGCACTGCAGAATGTCCAGCAGTTTCCTTGGCCTCTTCCCTGGAGATGCCAGGAGCACCTATGTCACAGGATTGCAACAGGCAAAAATGCCTCTGCACATTTATTGCCAAATGTCCCCGGGGGCAAAATTACCCCTCCAGTCCCTCTTAAGAACCTTGGATTTAATATATGTCATATGTCAGTCTTTTGGACTTTAGCATTGGTAATATGATTGTTTGAAATTCTTCAATATTTTAATTTTAACGTTTAATTTTGTGTCTTTTTCCTGAGTACACAATATTCCGCATACTTTGGAAGAGACCCAAGTGCTTCCTTCAACTTCCTTCAACTTGACATCTTCCTGTGTCATCATGCAATATGCTGTGTCCTTCCCTCCCCTCCCTTCCCCTCTCCTCCTCTTCCCTTTCCTGGAACCCAGGGCCTTGTGCATGCCCGACAAGTGCCCTCCCACGTGGCTGCATCCCTGGCCCTATATTTTTGTGTCACTGATCACCCAGCCTTATTTGTAGTAGGGCACCATATGAAGATGGACTCCACTGATGTTTCTATATGAAAACGTCGTATTTGGTTGTCTTTATTGTGTCTTTGTTGCTTGTCATGACCACCGTAAGGAGAGGAGAAGCGGAGTCCTTGTTCTTCGGTGAACGTAATAGGTGCTCAGGACGTGTTGGGCTGTGACCTGGGGGTCTGGTAGCCTGGAGGAACTGCTGTCTGACATTCTCACAGCCACAGGGAGCCATAAACCGATGTCACCTTAGATGGGCCAGCAAGGGAGAGCTCTGAGGAGGTGACGTTGGGGGACCAGCAGCCAGTGTGTAGGCAGGTGTGAAGGCTGTAGGTGGGATCTGGCTGCCCCTCCCAGGTGTGGCTGGAGCCCCCTGGGGTCAAGGACTGGACATAATTGATTAATATTTTTGGTGCCACTGTGTCGCTTGCGCGGCTTCCTGAGGTCGGCTGTGGAATTCTTCACTCCAGCTATCGTGGGTGCTCACAGAGCTCTGAGCCGGGGCTGGCAGGGGAGGCTCAGTGGTAGAGCACAAAGTTCTGGATCCCATCTTGGCACCAAGAAAGAAAGGTCAAGTTCTGGAGCATTTTGGGTTTTCAGATCAGGGGCTTGTGTTGGACGTGTATTTCGTAATGCTTGTGCCCCTGTGCCTGACACAGAAGGGGAGCCAGACACTCCCGGCCTCCAGCACCCTGTGCAGCGTGTGTGGAGACAGGACAGCAGGAGTGGAGGTCATGGAGAGGCGGGGTGAAGTGGGGTGCACAGACCCTGGTGAAGAGTCAGGTCGTTGGAGGCCCGAGGGCGCTCAAGGAATTGCATTGGTGGAGGGTGTTAGACCTTGAACTAACAGGGGATGGTCATGGCATTAACTGCTAGGAGGAGGACAGGTCAGGTACAGGACATTACACAGGCTGGGGAGTTGGGACAGGGTGCATTTGGAGGTGGCATGGGAGGTCTCTTTTTTAAGGAGATAGAGTTCTGCCCAAATGGGATCTGTGGGTTGCTAGATGACCCTAAAGCTGTGTTCCTTCCCGAGTCTGTGAAGCTTTGCAGTCCTAGACCCCCGGGGGATGAGTGGGCCCTCTCCTGTCCAGACCCATCTCTGCTGGAAACCAGTGGAGACTACCTCATTCTTGCCACAGCCATGTGGTATGACCGTTTCTTCAATCCTAATATTTAAAGGTTATCAACAAAGGAAGCATCCATAGAATTAAAAGCTTCCAATTATTATTTTTAATACACATGCATGTATATAACAGTTAAAAAAATTGACTTCATCCTGTGTGTTGCTAAAACCCACAGCAGGATCTCAGGTAGGACTGTCCTGCTAGAGCCCCTGTTGGCTGCACTCACCTGCTCTTCACTTGAACTTGACCCCGTAAGCAGGGGACTCTCTATATTGGGTTCTGTGTGCTCAGTGGCTCTGCTGTCCCTCAGGATTAGGTCTCCTTGTCAGTTCCCAAGCAGTTCCTTACTTGCTAGTTTATAGGAATTAGAGAAGCTCTGGTCCTCCATCTGCACAGGGAATTCGTTATTTGGATCTTTTTAGCTACCACAAATCTCATCTGCAAGGAGGTACGACATACACGAATAAATTATTTAAAAGTCCATAGTAAAGATTTTATTGGTCATATTTCCTTAAAATGCCTTGTGTTCATCTTGTTGCTTTGTGTCCCATGGTAATGAAGGTGATAGTGGCAGCAACGCCCCCAGATGAAGGAGTTCTCTGTGCCACGGCTGGGCCAGTCTGCCAGTCCGCCAGTCCTCGCAGTAGAATGGACATAATTGAATATTTTTAAAACCTAATTCTCAAGATGATTTCCCCCGTTAATTGAGCGCTTGGTTAAGCACGAGTGGATGGGCCCATCTAGCCCTCACCCCTGCCCCCGCTTCTCGGGAGAAGAGGATTTCCATGTGTCATTGTGGGCCAAGTAGTTCTTGGCTGTGGGGTGTCACAGGACATTCAGCCGTGTCCTGTGTCTCTCCCTACTAATTACCAGCAGCAGCCCTGCTCCCCTTGTGCTGGCCACCAAAATTGCCCATGCACATTGCCAGTCCTGTCCTGGGGGGGGGGGTGATGGGGGGTCGGGGGTGCATTTGCTTCTGGCTGAGAGTCACAGGTTCAATGATGAAACTGAAGCCTTTGAGGTCAGTGAGGACATAGAAAACAAGTGCCCAACAGCAAGCAAGGGTCAAGCACTTGGTAGGTTCCAGGTGAGGCTCGGATGATGGACAGTTGCTGGATTCACTCCCCACAGTGGCCACAGGAGGTGTAGCTTTCCTCCTCCCCTCGGATCAAGCTCTGAGCATCCACCTCTGCTGCTGCCAGGTTGGGGGCTGCGGGGCTGCCTGCCCAAGGCCACCCAGAAGGCTAGCAGCTGGGCTGGGATTTGAACTGCAGTGTCTGCCTCTTGACCCCTGCTTACTCCAGGCCCCCACAGTCTTTCCCACCAAATTATATGAAGATAAAGTTGACAGGTGCTGGGCCGAGGTTGGCTGATGGACACCAAGCCTTGGAGCTGGTGTGCAGAGCGAGCCTGTGGGGTCCCTTTTCTGCACATCTGTGTTGAGAAAGCGAGGGGGCGGAGGCCCGCCCCTGCCCCAGTGGACGAGTGCTTTTGAAGTCCCTGGGGAGTCTCATTCCTGCTCCCTTTGCCATCTGTAGCTGTCTGTCAAGACCAGGTCACCTCAGAGTTGAGGTTTCTTGCCTGTCTGAGGAGAACTGGCCATTTGTCATGGGTCATGGCTTTAGACCCAGCTGGTTTAGAGGAGCCCAGCAGGCCCCATGGTACAGTCCCAATGCAGTTGAGTGGCCAGGGCCATCGGGCAGGGTCTGGGGGGCTCTGGTTGGCTCTTTGTTTTATTAAAAGAAGCACTTTGGTTTCTGTCTTCCTTCTCTCTCCCCCAGCAAAGGGAGGCGCAGGGGCAGCAGGTGGGAGGTAGGTAGTTTGAGGTTCAAAGCCTCAGGCTGCAGGACCACCTTCATCTCCCTGTTGAAGTTCCAAACACAGAAGGAGAGGATAATCACCAAAGGCTCCCTCCCTCTGTCTGGTCCTGAGTGGGGTTATCTGCAGCCTGGGAACCTCTGGACCAGTCGCTGCAGATCTCCCTGGGCCTGGCTGCTGCCCTGGCCTGGCTGCTCCCCAGCAGGTGTGGGCTGTGTGAACAGCCCCTGTCCCCATGCCCGTGGAGGCCATGCCATTTTCCAGCCTGGCTCCTGATCTCCACATCTGGACCTCGTGGGGGCTGCTGCAGTTCACTGATGTTTATTTTGAGATTTACACCCGTGGATGGGCCAAACCAATTTCTTGGGCAGCATAGCTGATTTGTCTTAGAGCTTTGTGTTTAATAGAGGGCTGGGAGGCCACCTTCCTGGTGGCTTTAAGGGTTTAGCGTCGGGTGACACTGGAAATCAGCCACCAGCCAGCCCCGCCCTCTCCTTCCACATGCCTGTGTCCCAGCCAGAATGGTACATGCGCCCATCTATCTCCCCACCCCACCTGTGCCTGTGAGCACTCCTGTCGGTGTGTAAGTCTGACTTCTAACAGTGCCATACATTTTCAGCCTCACCAGCCTCCATGAAGACGGGACAGGCAGGGAGTCTGTCCGGCAGCCCGAAGCCTTTCTCCCCACAAGCGTCTGCGCACATCATGATGAAAACGGACAAGACATCCACCACCGGAAGCCTCCTGAACCTTAACCTGGGTCAGTTGGCAATTCTGGCAGAGTCTTTCTGTGACAACTGTGACTTGGCAATTGTAATGTCCTTTTCTATGTGTAGTTCTTGAACCTTTGAACTCTTTTCTCTGTGCAGATAATTAAAAAGGTGCAGTGGGTGAAGGTGAGGTGAATCATTCCCCCAGCCCTCCTTAACTTTGTTTTGTTTTTAGCATGGCCTCACCGAGTTACTGAGGCCGGCCTTGAACTTGCAGTCCTGGGGCCTCAGCCTCCTGAGTCACTGGAATAACAGACATGCGACACCACACCCATTTGCAGCTGTTTTTGTCTTGAAGGGCCTTAGGGCAGTGTTCAGAAGCTTGTTTCTCCTTAAGCCTATAAACCAGATCACTGATATGTGAATACATACATGTAGTGGAAAGAAGTTCCATGAACCAACTTTCCTGTGCCCAGTGTACTCTGATACACTGTTCCCTTTAATTTTCTGATATCGATTTTCATCCCTTGAATTAGTATTTTTTAATCAATTGGGTTTAGGTGGTTATTTAGAAAATACTGTGTTAGGAGAAAAAAAACCTGTTAGGCCAAAGTTTTACAAACATGCACGAGTAATGCCAAACAGCCAAGTACGGAGTCGTTTTGAGCCATTCTGTCATGACTCTTGCTTTTGTTGAGCACCTAGTATTGGGTAGTATTGTAGGCCTGGGAGAGAGGTTAGCCAGTCAGCTAGGGACCCGGCTCTTTCAAAGCTTCAGGTCCAGAGAGTGTACTCAAAGTAGGTGGGCAAGAGGGTTCACGCCTCCGTAAACACCTAGGAGGAAGAATCAGCCATGCCAACAGGAGGAAGAACATTCTAGGGGAAAGAAGAGGTCCTAGAGGTGGTGGGTGAGGACCCACTTGCTGTGCTGTAGGAGTGGCCAGGAGGCCTAGTTGGCTGCATCCTGTGGGCAGGGGCAGGAGGTGAGTAAATTGAGGGCTTGCAGATCCTGAGGTGGAGGGACCTGTGCCCACCTGAGGTGTCAGAAGGACAACTCTCTGTTGATCAGTCATTTTTCTGGTCAGTTGTGTCTCCACCCCACATGTGACCATGTCTGGGACATTTGCTTGTCCCCAGTGCCGCTGAGTCTCCTGTGGTGCCCAGGACCCTCATGGTATGGAACTCCTGGACCATGTGGTAACTGGGCCGACTCCCTGGCCAGCGGCAGAGCTATGGGCCAAGAGCTCCCCTTGGAATCAGTTTAAGATGCTTGTCAGACCCCAGGTGGGGAGGGCAGAGGGCACTTGGTGGCAGGTGCTCTGAGGCCAGCTCTGCAGGAGGTGAGTGCCGGCCATCTAGATGGACAGGCAGGTCTGGGGGCATGCAGTGCCTCTGGAGCTGGGAGACACCAGGTCTGGACAGCACCCTGGGTGCCCAGCAGAGCCCAGCAGCCCAGCTGAAGCCCAGCTGTCTGTCCTTGGATCCTGGGTCTCCTGCGTGCTGGGTTGCCTGTTCCCGCAGCCCAGGTGGAACAGGGCACTCAGGGTGGAGCTTGGGGGTTCGGATTCAGAGTGACTAGAACAAAAGGGAACCCACTTGCTGCCTTGGGAACATTGACTGTTTCCTACCATTCCCAGAATGGTGGCCTCCTTTCCCACAGCCTCCCTCCTCCCTCGTGCACACCCGAGCAGCCAGGCTGTGCGGAGGCCTGTTCCCTGCCTTCCTCTCTGCCAGTCACATGTGGCCAGAATAGCTCCTTCTGTAAATGGGGTGACCGGCAGGCATCCTGGTGACACTGTAGGTCTCTCAGTGTGGCTTGACTCACATATGTGGAAGTGCAGGACCCTTACTGGGGCGTCTGTCTCTGGTGGGTGGGGAGTGGCCATGGGCAGTGGTGCTGGCTGCGGCTCCTGCCGCCTCTCTGGAGGCCCACAGCCCCCGACACACTGGGCAGTTTTGCCTCCTTCCCAGCAGGGATGAAGGCATGTGAGCTGGGTGGTGCCGTGGGTAGGATCTCAGGTCCCTCATGGGCAAGGATCCACTGGGTCCTGAAGTCCAGCAAGCCGAGTCCCACTGCCTGGGGCTGAGCGTGAGCTTCATGGGCTTAGTCACATCTGTCCCTGTGACAGCCTTCACCAGATAGGAGTGATACAGAGTGCCAGAGACAGACAGACAGTAACAGTCACAAAACAGAATTCCATTAAAAAACCCCACAACAAAAACAAACAGACAAATGGATAGACAGACAGAACACTGAAAAAGGCAAAATCATAGTGATGGAAGCAGCCCGGGGTTGGGGTGGAACACTTGATCTTCCTGCCTGAGCCTCATGAGTTACTGGAATTACAGGTGTGTACCACCATGCCTGGCTGGTGGTTAATTTTTTTTTTCTTTCTTTCTTTCTTTTTTTAATTGCCGATGGACCCATTATCTTTATTTTATTTTATGTTTTAAATTTTTTCTATGTGGTGCTGAGGCTTGAACCCAGGGCCTCATATGTGCTGGGAAAGTGCTCTGCTCCTGCGCTTCAGTCGCAGCCCCTGGTAGCTTATTCTTAACAAGAACGGACATAGTAGCCATTGATCGAGGCGAGAACACTTATTTTGTAAAAGAGGGTGCTTTCCTTTGGTTGTGTTCTTCCTGTGAATGTGCAACAGGTGAGTCTTCCTAGAGTAAACTTGAAGGGCCGTGTCTATCACAGGCATGCATGTGCACACAAGTGCAACATAGGTCTAGGGCTCAGGTGAGGGCTGTCTCTTGATGAGCCCCATGAGGCGATGCAGCTACCACGGTGAAGGCCGTGCTGGATTTCTTTACTCACAGAAGTGGTCTTACACCAGGGTCTCAACACCAGCTGCTCCTAAGAGTCACCTGGGGGGTTTCTCCAGGTCTCCCAGACTGTAAGTCAGGGTTTCTGAGGGCCTGATGGATGCCGTATGTCAGCACATGTATATTTTTTATTTTGGGGTTGGTTTCTTCGTATTTGTTTTTAACCCCGTTAACATTAAAGCACCCAAGGCAGAGGCACGGGGTATTTTGCACTCCACGTGAGCCTCAGTTGGCCACAGGGTTGGCGCGCTGTGCCGCTGTTTCACTATCAATGCTCTTTGTAAGCTGCAGATCCAGGCAGGTGCAGGTGAGTTTCTAGTTCTTCCTCAAGGAAATTTGAATGAAAGTTCTTCCCTCCCAGGCTTCCTCCCTCCCTTGAGGGCCTCTCTGAACAGCCTTCCGATGGGCCTGTGAACACACAGTGCACACACACGCGGGAACACATGCACACCTGGACTTTTGAGGGTGCTTTTCTGGAATCATAGTGGTAGCATCTTTGCTAGCTTTGAGCACTTACTTCCAGAATCTTGCACGTTTTGAGGAAAGAGCCCTTCCCAGTTAACCTGGGTGGGAAGGAAGGTCATTGGGGCAGTTTGTTGCTTCTGTTGGGTGGGGGTTTTGGGGACCTCACTCCTTTTGGTCACTAAAGGAACTGGTTTCTCCAAGTGCAGTGCTGGAGCATGCCCTCACTGGTTGAAGGTGAAGGGCTTTGGCTCATGCCAAAACAGAAGGAGAAAAGCAAGTGAAAGTTTTGCAAGCTCTGGGGTGATCTCCTGGGGCTTCTTTAACAGGCCAGTGAATAGGTTGCCTTGGGTGCGGGGTCAGCAGGGAGTGAAGGGAAGTCCAGGAGATGAGCCCACAGTGGCTAAGAGCAGGTTCAGAGGTGGCTTCTCCTCTCTGGTGGGTGATCAGATTTCACCTGCTTTCTGACCTGTGTTCTGGGGTTGGCTGGGTTGGGTTGGAGGGGATGCCACAGAATAATGTCAAGGGAAAGACAGGCTCCCCTCCCCCGTGATCTTACCTTGCTTTGGGATGGGAGAGCAAGTTCATCAACATGGGCTAATTGGCCCATTTGGTTATACAAGAGCCCTTGGTGGAGTGACACAGGGGACTTGGGTTAGGGGATGTCATCGCAGAGGGCTTTGCTTGGGAGTCATGATGAAGAACTTTGGTTCTTACCTGAGAGACCTGTTGGTCACAGGTTAGTGTCCAGGAGGAATCTACTTACCTGGCCTCTGCGGAGGCTGTCAGGTGAAGGGAGGCACAGCCGGGAAGACCTCCTCTCCCCTGTTTTCCTTTTCTAGTTTGATCCCCAGATTGGGTAGACCAGGAATGACCAAGGAAGCCTCAGTGGATGGTAGGCAGCCAGGGTCCCCAGCCCCAGGTGTCTCCAGGGGCCCCGAGCCTCATTTGGGTGGAAGCCCCAATCACTGGTCTTGGGGAGTTTGGAGCAGGTGTTGAATGCTGGGTGTTCTCTCCCTGCTGATTCTGAGACTGAGCTCCTCTGGCTTTGGAGGGTCTCGGGTCTTACAGACTCTCTGCCTGGCACCCTCCAGCTTACACCTGAAAGCCGCCAGTGGGAATCCACCTGCTGCGGGAGCTCACTGGCCGTCACCCCAGCCTCCCATGTTGCTGGGGAGAGCTCAGTGGTGAGTACCACTTGGGCCCCGCGCCTGGGCTTAGGAGGGTGTGGTGGTGTCTTCCAGATGGTAGCAATGCCGAGATGGACCTGAAGGATCTGAGTGAGTCCATGCAGCATCAGTCCACCCCGGCGCCCCTCATCTCCCCCAAGCAGCAGATCCACAGCAGGTTCCAACTGAATCTCGACAAGACCATAGAGAGCTGCAAAGCACAGTTAGGTATGGCTTATGGTGACTTGCTGTTCCTAATAATGTTTCTAATTGTTTGTAATGATGACATCCACCTGGACCGGTGAGGGTCCAGTCCTGGCTGCTCTTAGCAGCTGTTCTGACCTTGAACCACCTGTGGAACTAAAATGTATTTCCACTCATGGCAAAGTGTCCTGGACCTGCTAGTTAATTATTTAGTTGATCCTTGGTGAAGACAGCCTTGAGGACTCACGGTGCTGAGTGCTCCTCTGCCCCTGCCTCACCAGTGTCTCACATCTGTCCTGAATGGGTCTATAGGAACCTGTCCCCGCAGGTGGGCCAGTCACTTAATCCCTCTTGGGTCCTCCCACACAGCTTTGTAAAGCCCCCCATTCCTGTTTACTGAATGCCTGTGGTACATCCTGCCCTGTGCTCAGCACAGTGCATCCATCATTCTGGGAGATTGCTACTATTCTCAGTCTCATTTTTCAGATGAAGAATCTGAGGATCAGAGAGGTGCATCATTTGTTCAAGGTCACACAGCCAGTGACACCAGGAGCAGGATTTAAATTGTCACCATTTTGATTCTGGTACCTAGTACTTACTACACGTTTGGTCCAACTTGTCTTTCTTGGGTCCAGCCATTAGCTACACTAGCACAAACATGAGATCTAAAAACCATACCATGCCTGGGTGTTCTGTGTTTCTCCTGTGATTTTGACCGGGCCCTGGTGGAGGCAGGAGTGTTTCCTACAGATCTGCCAACCTCCCAGGTCCTGAGCTCCTCATGGCTCTTGTCCTCTTGTGGGTCTCTCTTGGTGTGTCCAGGTCAAGACAGACGATTCAAGAGGCCGTTGCTCCTGAGGGAAGAAGTCCAAAGAGTCGATTGGGTTTTCTTTCTGATTTTAATTTTTGGGCATAGTATTGTTTACCTGTGGCCTGGCCACACTCGGGCATTGCCGGAAGCACAGCGGGGCTGAGCAGAACTGCTCCTGGGAGGGGCTTCTCCCCTGTTTGGAGCACCTGCTGTTTTGTGCCCCCTCCCCCCTCCTTTTTTTTGGCGGGGCTGGGGATTGAATCCCGGCTTTGTGCATGCGAGGCGAGCACTGTACCCACTGAGCCACATCCCCAGTCCCTGTTCTTCCCTTTCGGGGGACATGGGCACATGCAAGTCCATCTTGGCCCCTGTGAGTGGAAGAACAGTGAACAGTCCACTCTGTCCTGGGGCCTGCTGGTTACTCTGTCACCTGAAGAACCCCCGCCCCTCTCCCATGGCTGCTTGGCCACAGGCCTGTGTCTGAAAATAGGCAAGTCCTCTGTTCTTTGCTGACTCTGCCCGCCACCTTGGTGAGTTGGGCACCATATCCTAAGTTAGAAAAAGCAAAACACAGACATAAATGGGTGCCGCCTGCCAGCACAGCATTCCCTAATGAAGGTGCCTGTGGCTGGGTGGGATCGAGGGCCTTGGCCTACTTCTGGAGGCCTGGACAAAGGGTGTGAAGGGCACAGAGGCTTTGGAAGCACACGGGAGGAGGCTGGTGATGAGTCTGAGCCTGAGATCCACCTTCTGCTTTTGTCTCCTGGTTGTCTTCGTGTCCTAGGACAGGTGATTCTCTGAGCCTCTATTTTTTTTAATATTTTTTTTAGCTGCAGATGGACACAGTACATTTTATTTTATTTATTTATTTTTATGTGGTGCTGAAGATTGAACCCAGGGCCTTACATTGGTGAGGCGAGCGCTCTAGCACTGAGCTGTGACCCCAGCCCTGAGCCTCTATTTTTTAACCTGTAGGTTGGCTGGTTTGAGTGGCTTGTCCCTTTGTTCCTCTACCCTCTCCCTCTCTTACCAGCGATGCGGATTTAGCTTGCTCCTGTTTAATCATATGTAGGGAGGTCCCAGGTCACCTCTGAAGGCTAAGGCCCGAAGCCCCTGCAGACAGGGCTCCTGCTGGTCACTTGTATCCAGCCGCTGCTTCCATTTACTCCCATCCCTTGCACCAGTGTGATGTGATTTGAGTGTGTTTTTCTCACTCCAGCCTTTGGCATGGGAACCATCTGCACTTCCTAGTCCTGATTTTGGTTCGATGACTGCACAACAGGCTGGGTTTTCTCTTTTGAATTTAGGCATCAATAAAATCTCGGAGGACGTGTACACGGCCATGGAGCACAGCGACTGGGAGCATTCCAAGATGTCGGAGAGTAGTGACAGTAAGTACCTCAGTGACAACGAGAGCAGAAGTCCAAGAATGAGCCAGAAGACGCGGAGGACAAGGATGGCAGCACGCTGGACAAAGAGCCACCCGCTGCCAAAAAAAAGCCCAAGCCCGCCAACCCCATGGAGGTCCCTGAGGAGCTGAAAAGCCGTCTCCAGTCAGTGAGAAGGAAGAGCCCACGGCCGCGAAGGCCAACCCGGAGCCCGAGAGGGACCCTGCCGAGAGAGCAAAGCCATCCCTGCATCCCGCCAAGGACAAACTGAAGGGCAAAAATGAGATGGATTTTCGATGGTGCACTTGGGCCTGGACTCGGATTCAGAGAGTGAAGTTGTCATAGACTTGGGAGACGACCATCCTGGGCAGGAGGGCCGGAAAAATAAGAAGGAACCCAAAGAGCCACTTCCCAAGCAGGACGGTAAGTCCTTGTGTCCATCTGCAGGTTCTCACTGGAACGCCCCTGGCCCTTGGATTGGCAGAAGCCATGGGGCCCCCAGCTCTATTCAGCCAGGAAACCTTCGATGGCCTTACGTTCCCAGGCTGAGGACAGAACAGGACCAGGGCTTAGGTGTAGGCCCCCTGACCTTGGCCTGCTCAGTGCCCACCATGATTGATTGGGAGCCCAGACAAGGAAGCACTTAGAAAATGGTAGTTGATTTTAGTCCTCTTTAGCCTAAGCTACTGCTTTTCCAACAGGCTCACTCATGTCCCTGAAGTGTTTCTTGACATGTCGACCTCTGACCAGGCTCAGGTGCCTATGAGCATTCAGTCAAAGGTCCTCCTTAGTCCAGCTTCCTGTCTGTCCATAATGCTACTCAGGCATTACCAGGTACATTTTCTTACAAGAATGTGAAACTGTTTGGTAATTGGTACCTGAGTGCCTGAGAACCTTTTGAGGACCTAGAAACCGAAGGGGCAGTGTCTGGTGACATGCCACCTGATTTGATGTCCGTCCTGTTCATTTAGCTGACTCGAGCCAAGTGCTGCTCATCTGGGCACTAGGGACACTTTGCCCTAGAGAGTTCTCTGTCTTGTGCGCTGGAGGGTCTCTAGGAGCATCCTGGCCTCTACCACTAGGTGACAGCAGGACCTTCCTGGTGTTGGCTGTTAGGTGTCCCTAGAGGGCATGACACTTCATAGAGCACCCTTTCTCTGCAGGAAAACCCACTAGAGGGAGCTTGGGAATGAGTCGGAGGGTGTTCTTGCCCTGACAAAGCCATCAGCATATTTTCCAGCTGGCTTGGCAAATGGGTGGTGGGTGGAGCCCAGCATGCCCACGGAAGGTACTGAAGAATTAATTAAGGGTCCCTGGAGAAATTTTGCCTGAGGACAGATTAGAGATCATAACCATAAAGCCTTATGTACTTTGTGGGTAACTTAAAGCATAGCCAGGTTTAGTTTTTGACTATGCCTTACTTCTGACAGCTGCTAGCTTCTTATCCAAACCATTGAGTAAGATGTGAGTCTGTGTCGTTTGAATTTCCCCAGTCTGGTGGCTTAAAGCAAGGGCTCATTCTGCAATCTGTGTATGGGGTGAAGGCGGGAGTTCATAACCCACTTGAATCAAAGTGTGGAATATGATATGTCAAGAAATTTGTAATATTTTGAACAACCCACAATAAAAAATTTAAAAAAAAAATAAAGCAAGGGCTCAGTGTGTGTGTAGAATCTTGCTGCTGTGGAGTCTCAGTTGTTAGTGAGGAGAGAGGGTATCCCGCCGCTCAGGAAGAGAGAACAGGATGTCTCTGAAGCATGCAGGAGTGGAGAGGGAAAGGAGACACAGCACAGAGAAGGCAGGCTGACCGTCTCTGGCCATCTCTTAGATTCATAGATGCTTCTGAAAAATACAGTGATGTCATGCATTGAGTTCTGAGAGGCTGCTCTTTATTATTGCAGAAAAATGGGCAGTAGCATTTGTTCCATGAGGATTGTGGAAGTGTGATTTGGGTGTAGGTGGTACAGGACTCCTGAGGCACATTTATACTGTTCTGTTCTTTCTGGAACAGGCCTTTTGATTGATTGATTCATTTAATGCCCCTTCCCCTTCCAGACAGGATTTTCAGCAGATTGACAAGAATACATAATCATTAAACAGAAAGAAAATAAAGAAGTCAGTGTAAAAGGGAAATGAAGGAGAATAACTGGGCAACACTTTTATGCAAAAGTATGTGCTATCAGCGTTTAGAGTTGGGCTCTGAGCTTCCTGGCCATGAAAGCAAAAAAGGAAGAGATCCTTAAAAGATCTCACACTCTCCAAAAACTCAAAATTAATCCAGTTGTTGAGAAAAAATAGAGATTTTCCTCATGCTGATGTCTCCAGGAAACTTCTCCTGGAGCCCCTGAGTAGATGCTGGATGATTGAGCAAAAGATTCTAGAACCCAGTTCAGTTAGCAGCTTCTTAGTGATTAGGAAAAAACAAATGATCTTAAATCCAGAGTCTCTTGGTGGTTCGGGTCTCAAAGGCTCAGTCTTGGACTCTACAGTGGAGCAGGGTCCCTACCAAGTGCCTTCGCTTTTGCTCAGTTGAAGGGGAGGGCATTTGGGACTGTGCTGTAGGGACTCCCACTCACCCTCAGCGTGGAGTGCAGCATGTGGTGGAGTAGGTACCTTCAGAGCAGAACCGCTCCAATCAGAAGCAAAGGGAGCCCCTAGAGACCCTGCTACCTGCTGCGCCCAGGAGTCCTGCCACCCTTCCCCACCGGGATGCTAATTGAGGGTGGCAAGTTCTGGAATATGTCAGGGAATTTGATTGGGCAGCTTCCAGGGTGCCAGCCCTTTAAAGGCTTCACCCTTTTGGGATGAATTTTGGGTGATTATATACTCCAGATTTCTAACCAGTGAAATTTCCTTGAGATTCCTCCCCACCAATCATCAGAATACCCTAGAAATTAAAATTTGCCTAAATGATAACGTGGGGAGCTGGAGGCGGGAGTCTTTTCAGGCCCCCCACCCCTTTTCCTGAAGGAAGAGCCAGCATGACCCTTGCAGAGCAGCTGCCCCACTGCACAGCTGCGTGTTTGCTCTTATAAATCAGAAGGGAGTGACCCTTTGGCATTGCCCTTGGCAGGGGCATGCAGGCCACATTGCCCAGCGATACACATATTTTCTCATTGGCAGAGAGGGAGGCGTTGAATGTGCTTCTGCAGGTGGGAGACTGGCTGGTGCCAGGCCTCTGCCCAGCTCTCAGTAGAGCCCAGATGAATGCCTCCTGTGTACCTCGAAGGAGCAGGGGCTGTGTTCAGTACTTGCAGGTCACCTAGGAAAGATCGGGACCCCTCATTGCAGGAAGAGAACCCCGCCCAGCTCCACTTGGGCTGATGCCCAGTAGCCGGCTGAATGCTGCCCTCCAGGAAAGCAGGAGGGCTGCCCTAGGCTGGCCCAGAGTCGGCCAGCTGCTGTCCCTCAGCTTCCTTCTCCCGGCCTCCTAAACCCCACAGCATCCTGACCGTCCTCCCTTCATCACGCTCTCATGTTTTATTTGGGGAGTTTGATGTCCAGGCAGCACGGAGTCTGAGGTCAGGGGTGGTTAACCCGCACCTGTGTTTGCAGTGTGTTCCCTGATGTCCTCTTGGGGACAAGTCCACCTAATCCACGATTGGGACTTCGGTGGCCATGAACAACCCCCTTTCTGAATGTGCCCCCTGCTCTCTCAGTGCTTCTGGCTCTTCTGCCTCGGCTGCTCCTGCCCCGCTGTCTCCTTACCACGGTGGCCCTGTCATGGCCTGGGCTCCTCCCTCTCTTCTCACTCTGCCGGGTGAAGCCCCAGCCCCAGCCCCAGCCCCACTTCTCCAGGAAGACCGCAGGGCAGTGGGCACCACCTCAGGCCTTCACATGCACAGTTTTTCTAATTCTCAAGTCCTGCTTGTGTAGTTGTTGACAATATTTTTATTAAAAGAAACTCATTTTAAAAGACGTGAACATGTGTTACACTTGACCACCTCACAACGGGAGAGCCAGGACTGTGTGCCATGGACACAAGACAGCAGGGCAGACAATCATCCAGAAGTAAAACTCCCAGAATGACTGTGCTGGGGGAAGTTCTGGCTGTGCGTGGGGCAGAGTTCCTTTTAGTGTCAACACCTCCCTGGGACGTTGTCCTGGAGGGAATTGAAGAGACAGAGGGGGCTTTTCTTTCTGGGCGGGTGGCTCCATGCTGCTCAGTCCTTGCCAGAGGAGAGGCCATCTGGTTCTTGGGGTGCGGGTGTTAGAGGATCCCTACCTGAAGGGCTTCCCCTGGCCCTCTGGAGTGAGTCCTTTCTTAGACAAGCACTTGCAGGGATTCTGTCACCCACTGCTTCCTTCCCTAGTGGGGGGTCGTGTTCACCTCCTGTCCCCCAGGGTTCTTGGCTTGGGTCTCGATGCCAGCCGGGCTCAGTGGAGGTGAGATGGAAAGTGGAACTGCTGGTCCTCAGTGGGCGCCTGGTGCGGACCTCCCTGGTCACCCTTGGCTTTGGTTGGTTTTGCCCAGAACTCACAGGCAGGTTCCTGCCTGCTCTGTTTGTCTGTCTGTCTCCACACCCTGGCTGTAGTCATAGGTAAAGCGCCACTGTCCATGACTTCGGGCAGCCAGTCTCCCCCCGAGATGCTGGTGCTCACCCGCTCCTCCTCCCAAACCCCCGTGGCCGGCGTCCCGGCCAACACCAGCACAATGTCCACCATCACGGTCACCGTGCCGGTCACCGCGCCAGCCCCCGCTGTCACAGGAAGCCTGGTGAAAAAGCAGAGGCCGCTCTTACCAAAGGAGACTGCCCTGGCCATGCATCCGGTCGTGTGGAACTCATCAAGTAAGTTTCAAACGTCCTCCCAAAAGTGGCACATGCAGAAGATGCAGCGTCAGCAGCAGCAGAAGATGCAGCGTCAGCAGCAGCAGCAGCAGCCTCAGTCTTCCCAGGGGACGAGATATCAGACCAGACAGGCTGTGAAAGGTATAGCCCCCTTCTGCTCTGTGTGGCACCCACTCCCTTTGCCACATCGACAGGACAAAAAACATTGCCGTTTTATTTTTCCCCCCTGTTTGTGTTCCGGCCATCGTGTCCTGAGGGCCTCACACGTTCCATTTGGCGTTATTTTTTTTAAAGTTGGTTTGCAACTCACTTTTTCACTTAATTTTTTTTAAGGTGATACATGCCTCTCTTCTCCTTAGAAATGGGACAGGATGTTTATATGATAATTTTGTTGAGTGTTGTCCCGTTCACCTTCCATTTAATTGTCCTTCCTTCCTCAGTAGCCATGATCAGTCACCTAAAACCCTTTCCTATGCATGTACGCACAAGTATGTACACACACCGACCCCCACACACCCACACACAACACCATAAAAGTACTTATTTTCCCCTTATTTCTTTTTTAAGACATAAAAATTGTACCATACTTGCTTTTTTTTTTTTCACCCATCAGCATGTTTCGAGGTCTGCCTGTGTCCCAGCATATGGCCCTGCCTTCTTCTTTTGGACTGCTGCGTAGTATTCCCTAGTTTATGTAAAGCATTTCCTTCCCAGTGGGCTTAGGTTACTTCCATTTTTTTTTCTACCATAAGCAGTGCTGCAAAGAAAGTTGTACCTTTGTATAGTGTTTCCAAGGGCACATGAGCAAAGCCCTAGTCCTTGTTTTGGGAAGAGTACAGTGGAAGAGGTTGACAGCAAAGCTTACTCTAAAAAACAGGGATTTGCCACACCCATGAGATATGCAAGTGGCAGGAACTGCTTGCTGAAGTTGCAGAATTGAAACTCCCACCAGAAAGCAGGATGCTCCATCTGCAGCTGACGTCAGGGCACACAGAGGGCTGGCTGATCTGCCCAGGGTCAGTTTTCCCAGGTTTGTGAGGCTGGGGTACATTTTGTTCCTCAGGGAACCTCCTCTAGATCCTGGAAAGTGGGGCCCCTGATTGAAAGTCTCCTAGTGAGTGCACCCTGGTGAGCAGGCCTTCTGATTAGCAGCAGGATGCAAGGTAAAAAGGTCACCTCAGAGGAACCCCATGTAACCCTCCAAAGATTGGCGAATGGGAGAGGAAAGAGTGGAAAACTGGAGAGGTCAAGTTGGAAGACAGTTGAAGTGACCTAGTGCTTAAAATGTGTTTGGAGCTGGGCACAGTGGCCCACGCCTGCAATCCCAGCAGTTCGGAAGGCTGAGGCAGGAGGATCGAGAGTTCCAAGCCAGCCTCAGCAAAGGCGAGGCATTAAGTAACTCAGTGAGACCCTGTCCCTAAATAAAATACCAAGTAATTCTGGGGATGTGGTTTAGTGGCTGAGTGTCCCTGAGTTCAATCCCTGGTACAAAAAAGAACAGTTGTTGGGACAGATCTAGGTTGCTGGAAATGAGGATGAGTATGTCTTGTCTTACTACCCCGTGAGCAGATGCTCCTTTCCCAGGGGAGGTTTGGTGCTTCCAGAAAGACTTGTGGACATTATGGTCCTCAGCTTTCCAATTGTCTCTGTCAAAATAAAGTGACGAGGACCGATGGCATGTTTGCAGCACTAGTTAAGGTGATAAGACACCTGAATCAGCTGGGCACTCCCACACCACTAGTTAAGGTGTAATCAGTCATACACTGGTGCACTAGACAGGGAGTCCAGGTGAACTGACTTCTGCTTTGACCTGTGTGGAGGTTTTGGGCCTGTGGGTAGGTTGAGGGAGCAGGGAGGGTGCAATGAGGGCTCAGGAGAGTCAGGAAAGTTGGACAATATGGGCCATCCAGGGTGGTGAGGCATCTCCCCTCCCATGGGGCTGGAAGACAGAGCCCCCTCTTCTGTTGCCCTGTTGCAGGTTGGAACCAGCTGGGGTTCCTTGGGCAGCCTGGAGTCTGCCCCGGGCACTCGGGGCACCAGGGCTGCCTCACAACCTTGAGCTCTCAGAGATGGTTCATGTTTCCTCAAGTTTTTCTACTGGGGTTGGGTCCTAGCCTGGCTCCTTTGGTCACTTTAGAGTAAAAAAATCCCACAGGGTGCGTCAAGGGCTGGGCTGCAGTTGTCACCACAGCGTTGTGCTGGGACAGCCCTTCCTATGTTTCTGGGTGACCAGGACCCTTTGTTCTCCTAGATGTCCAGCAGAAGGAGGTCACACAGAGCCCGTCCATGTCCACCATCACCCTGGTGACCAGCACACAGTCATCCCCCCTGATCAGCAGCTCTGGCTGCACAAGCACCCTCAGTCATCAGTCAGCGCCAACCTGCCCATTGCTACCGCCTCGGCCGACGTCGCCGTCGACATCGCCAAGTACGTGAGCAAAGTGAGTGGCAGGCGCCTGGTTGGCTGCTGCAGGGCGCCTGGGCAGAGGACCCTGTTGCTCCCAGCCCAGATCCACACTGGCTCTGAAGTCCATTCTCAAAGGGTATTGTAGGGCAGACTCAATCTCACACCAGGAAGGCTTAGATCCTAAAACCAGCCCATAAAATCCAAAAGGCGCTGGAGTCCCCTTTGGAATTCAGGCTGCTCATGAAGGACAGGATTTCTTTGAGTGCTGGAGCAAAGGACAGTTGACCCAGGGGTTCAGGGTCCCCGAGGTTCTGAACAGGGAGGATTCCAGGGTCAGTGATATGCCACTCACGATGGTTTTCTGGCCTGTTCATTACCTGAGCCAGTTTTGAGTTAATATTTTTATTTAAACTTAATTCCTGTTGTTTAAATCCATTCCGTTTAAAAACCTAAATAAATGAAGCTTAATCTCACCAGATACTGTTTGTGTCAAGGCTTGGACTGGAGGGAGACTGACCGAGCTTGATATCAAATCAGAGACATGCCTTCTGATAGAAGAAAAAGTTGGCTACGATCTACATACTGTGGGGTCGGGCTCCAAATTCCTCAATAGGACACCCATAGCACAAAAGTTAATAACTAGAATCAACAAATGGGACTTACTCAAACTAAAAAGTTTTTTTCTCAGCAAAAGAAACAATAAGAGAGGTAAATAGGGAGCCTACACCCTGGGAACAAATCTTTACTCCTCACACTTCAGATAGAGCCCTAATATCCAGAGTATACAAAGAACTCAAAAATTTAGACAATAAGAAAACAAACAACCCAATCAACAAATGGGCCAAGGACCTGAACAGACACTTCTCAGAGGAGGACATACAATCAATCAACAAGTACATGAAAAAATGCTCACCATCTCTAGCAGTCAGAGAAATGCA